GGGCAGATGAGCCGGCCATCCTGGACGCGGAGGATCTGGACCGCAAGGCGATGCGCCTCGGGGGTGGCCTGGACCCGGACACCATCTCCCTGGCATCGGTCACCGCCGTCACCACCAATGTGTCGAACAAGAGGTGAGGCGCCGCGCGACGGGGAGCCAGGCGGGTGTCCTCGGCCGGGCACGGCCGGGCCAGAATCCGCCCTCACAGGCCCGTTTGCTTTGGTCGGTGCTCTGCTGAGCCCCAAGGCTCGGCACAAGCCGCAGAAGGAGCCCGGATCAGGCCCGAAAAGTGCTTTGCCACTGCAGGAGGTGGGCACAGGCAGTCTAGCTGCCTGTCCTTTGTAGTCGAGATGTTAATTGTGTGCTGTTACTTGTCCTTTGATCTTCACTGAGGGCTTTTATTTGTATTCTGCTGCGGTCAGCTATCCTGGGCGTGTGTCCTGCTCCAAGAGGCGGCCACCGAAACGTGGAATTCTGATGCTGGGGAAGTGTGCTTGCTCTGGTTCTCGCCCGCCCTCCCGGCACAGGCCCACCTGGCGGGGCTTCTGCGGGGCTCGCGGAGATGAGCAGAACGGGTCCGGCTCCTTGCCGGTTGCTGCCACCAAGACCATCGTCCTCATCATCACCACTATTTCTATTCTTGCTTCCAGATCCAAGCCCGATATTAAAATGGAGCCCAGCGCGGGAAGACCGATGGATTACCAGGTGAGCAGCCTCCGTGGCCCCTCTGGGCGGGGAGCTCCCCGCTTCCCCCCATTCCTGAGAATGCCGTGCGCCTCCCCGGCGGGCTGCTGTGCCCTTCGTGCAGCGCAGGGGCCGGATCTGAGCACTCCCCACGCGCCTCCAACCCGGTGGGCACGCTCTTTGGGGGCCTTGCTTGGTATTGTGGGGCCGGCGGATTCGTCTGGGCCGCTCCTGCACTGGCCACTGGAGTTAGAAATATGGAAACAGAGCGAGTCAGAAGGGGTCTCTGGGGCCATCTAGTCTGATCCCCGGCTCCACTCAGGGTGCGTCCTTTGCAAGCACCCGAGGAGATGGGACAGGAAAGCGCGTGAGGCTCTCTGGGGAGCCGAAGTGACTGGAGACACGGTTCCCTCCCCCGCCCAGGTCAGCATCACCGTCATTGAGGCGCGCCAGCTGGTGGGGCTGAACATGGATCCCGTGGTGTGCGTGGAGGTCGGGGAGGAGAAGAAATACACGTCCATGAAGGAGTCGACCAACTGCCCCTACTACAACGAGGTGGGCTCGCTCTCCGGGGCCGCTTGGGGGGGGGCAGTCAAGTCACGCACCCCCCCCCACTAATAGCATCTGTTGGGAGAGCCGTGCCCGTTTCTGCCTCTGCCATGTTTTGCCAGTGCATCTGGTTCGTGGCGGACTTCCGATTTCTTCTTCTTTTTCAGTACTTTGTCTTTGACTTCCACGTGCCCCCAGATGTGATGTTTGACAAGATCATCAAATTATCGGTGAGCAAACTTGCCTTTCTCGGCCGGAGCACATGCCCGGCCGTAACAGAGAGAAGGCAACACGCAGGCGGAGAGAGAAGGGGCGCCCCCAAAGAGGCCGGCCTGGGGGGTGGGCCCCTGCACGGTGACGAGCCAGACCGGGGCACCAGCGCTTCCCTGCCGTCCAGGTGTAGACGGCGCCTCCTCCGGCCCCCGCTGCCCCCCTCACCCGACTGCCCCCCAGCCCTGTTTCCGGAAACGGGCCGAGGCCCAGCTAGCAGCAGATGGGATGAAACGGTGCAGAGGAAACAGCACCAGTTTGGTGATCCTGGTGGTTGCCATGGTTGCCGGCTGAGCATCCTCCTTTCTTGGCGGAGCATTGAGGCGCTTTGTTCGCACCATGAATTCAAGCCTCCGCGCATTAACTCTTCCCACGTGGCAGGAACCTGTCCCCGTCGCCACTCGCCCTGCCGGTTCTGTCTCTGTTTCAATATACGCGCTTGTCTGAGCGTTCGTTGTCAACGGTCCCGCAGCATTAAGGCTTCAGGGGATGCCGGTTCTGTTCCTTTGTTCAAGATCCCTCTTACGTTGTGAATTGCTGATTCTTTGCTTATTAGCGGGTACAAAAATGTAGAGCAAGACGGAACGCAGTTGATTAGTCACCACATGACAAGTGCTCTGGCCAACATCCAATTAATCAGTCTAAAAATGTAGCATGTAGAATATATTTATATATTTATTTATTATTCTTTTTATTTAAACGTCATTTTAATTGTTAATATTGTTTGCTTATTTTATCTGGACAGGGCGACTTATTTTATATTGTTAATTTGTTTTATATTTTGAATGTATTATATTTTAATTTACGTTGTGAGCCGCCCTGAGGCTTCGGCGAATGGGGCGGCATAGAAATGTTTTAAATAAATAAATAAATAATGCAACTGAATGGACGAACAGCCCAGAGGGCCTTGTGGGTAAACATCTCCTGGTCAAATCAACTTATCAGGAGCGCTTACATCCATATATGCCCGACCGCCCCTTGAGATCTGTGGGAGAGGCCCTTCTCCGGGAACCCTCCGTGAAAGAAATTAGGAGGGTGGGTACTCGGAGGAGGGCTTTCTCAGCGGTGGCGCCTAAGTTATGGAATGCGCTCCCCAGAGAGGTCCGACTGGCACCGTCGTTATTTGTTTTTCAGCGCCAGGCGAAGACCCTTTTATTTAAACGTCATTTTAATTGTTAACAATATTTACTTATTTATCTGGCCAGGGCGACTTCTTTTCTTTTATAACTTTTATAACTTCTTTTATATCGTTTATATTTTTTATTTATTTTATATTATTAATTTTAATTTCATATTGTTATTTTTATACTGTATTGTACTGTATTGTGTTGTAAGCCGCCCCGAGGCTTCGGCAAGGGGCGGCATAGAAATGTTCTAATAGTAATAATAATAATAATCATCATCATCATCATCATCACACAAAGACTCATCTTGGCGGGTGCTTTGGAAAGCCTAGACTAAAATAAGCGTGGAGTCAGGGAAGAGCAGAGTCGGAAGGGGACACGTGGCCGCGCATACAGGCCCTGCCGGGGCAGGACGCCAGGTTAAGGGGCTTTGGAGATGGGGCCCTCGGTCAGAAGCGTTGCCAAGTCGAGGTAGGTTGTATCCTCGGCATTCCCACAGTCCCTCCGGGAGGTGAAATCGGATTAGTCAGGCAGGGTTTGTCCTTGAGGAGTCCAGGATGGCGTCCAATGAGCGCTGCACGGCTTTCCAGATGTTTACTGATTGCTTTCTCCTCCGCTCCAGAATTTTCCCTGGTTTGGTGTCTGTCTGACTGGCCTGCAGTGCCCCAATTCTTTTTTTGAAATAGCAATCTGCAAACCGTGTTATATGGTGTTTGGGGAATGTTCTCTGGAGAATAAAGCGCATCATTGCCTGGAGTGGGAGGGTCTCGTGGGAGGGTCCCGGGGCTCGCTGCTGACCTGCTCCTCCCCGGCTCACCTGCAGGTGATTCACTCCAAGAACCTCCTGCGCAGCGGGACCCTGGTGGGCTCCTTCAAGATGGACGTGGGCACCGTTTACTCCCAGCCAGGTGCGTGGCGCGGGGATGGGAAGCCAGGCTGGCCCAGACCCCGGGGCTCCCGCCCGCCTCCCGGGCCCTGAAGCACGCCTTCGGGGTGGGTGGCCCGATTCGGCCCGGCTGCTCCCAAGCCGAAGAGGCGGTCTGGGGGACGCGGCACTGGGAGGCCTGGCGGGGGCTCTACGGCCGCCTCTCGCCCCCTCCCTCAGAGCACCAGTTCTACCACAAGTGGGCCATCCTGTCGGACCCCGAGGACATCACGGCCGGGCTGAAGGGCTACCTGAAGGTGGACGTCGCCGTGGTGGGCAAGGGGGACAACATCAAGACCCCCCACAAGGCCAACGAGACGGACGAGGACGACATTGAGGGGTGAGGAGGGGGGGCCGCTGGGCAGCCTCGGCGCCCTCCCTGGGAAGGGAAGCGGGAGGCGGACCCCCTCCAGGTCCACACCTGGCATTCAGTGTGGGGCAGGGAGAGGTTGGCTCCCCCGCTGGGCTGCCTGTTCAGGTTGGCTTTGCTTTCCTGCGCGCTCTCTCTCGCAGAGAAGTTGGAGGGAAAAGGGTTGCTAAGCTTCTCCCACCCAAATCCCCCCCCCCCCAGCATACCCAGCTGCCCTACCAGTCTGTCCTGGTTTGCTTTGTCTTCTGTGACTGTTAGATGAAAAAGAGAACTCCCCTTTAGCTGGCAGTGCTGGATTTTTGACTCCAGTGACCGTGAATTTGCCAGACAAGTCCCGGATGCAAATCTCAGCCCTATAAAAGTCTGCCCACCTCCCCACCCCATGGGCTGGCAAAGGGAGGCTCCAGAAAACCCTGCGGCTTTTACGCCCGTGCCGCGGGACTCAGCCCAGAGCGGTCCCTGAGCCTGGGAGCAAGAGGGCCCTGGCCCACCTGGGGAAGCGCTCCAAGCCAGAGGAGGCAAGCGCAGGTGACGCCCTACATTTCGTGGGCACAAACCGCCGGGACTCGTCCCACTTCCATTTGCTGCAGCCCGGGTCCCTGGGGCTGGGGGACGGCCGGCCCCAGGTCTTGTCTTCAGTCGTGGGGCACTGGAGAGGTGGGGCCGGCTGGTGGGCTTGCGGGCCACGTGGGGATCCCAGTTCTTCCCCTCTCGGCCCCAGCTGAGTCCCTTGCTTTCTGCCGAGAAAGCCCGAGCGGGCGAGGAGCCTCGCGGGGGCCTGGCATTCGGGCCCCTCCCTCACCGCCGGGGCACCTCTTCAGCCCTCCGGTCCGTGGCGGGAGCCCTGCCAAAGGCCTCTGGGAGCCTGGCCCTTGGCTCATTCTCTGTCCGGAGAGAGGCGTTTCTTGGCCCGTTCCCCAAGATGATCCTGGGGGAGCATTAATCCCCCCTGGGCTCTGCGTCGTGTGCAGAAGGGGCGGCCCCCACGCACCCCGACGGCTTCCGAATGGCACACCTGAGAAAGAGCCCCTGGCACCTGGAAGGGTTTGGGCCACAATTGGGAAGCCTCCTGGATGGTCAGTTTAGACCCCCAGCTCAGTTTGGCCTGGGCTCACTGGGGCTCAGCCTGGGAGACGGTCCTAGAACGCCAGGGCTCAGTGCGATGCCGGCTGACAGCGGGACGCCTGCGCCCCTTTGCGCCCGAGCAGCAGGTTCCCTTCCCCACCGAGCAACCACTGGCAGGCCGCTGCCCGGAGAGCGGAGGGGGCTTTGCGCTCTCCCGGCGTGGCCCCCAGCTGGATGCGAGAGCGGCGGCCCCGACGCCCCCCGCCTGTCCTGCGCTCCAGCTGCTGGCATGCAGTTCCTGTACGGAAACTCGGGGCGGGCTGAATGCGCAACGGCCTGATTGCGCGGGCTGCAGAGAAGCCCCTGTGCGTGCCGAGAGCAGACCCCCGAGCACCCTCGCCCCCCGCTGCCCGCCCACTCTGCTCGCGCCTGAGGGCCCCGTGTCTTGTAGGAACCTCCTTCTTCCAGACGGGGTCCCCGCGGAGAGGCAGTGGGCCCGCTTCTACGTCAAGGTCTACCGTGCAGAGGGCCTTCCGCGCATGAACACCAGCATCATGGCCAACGTGAAGAAGGCCCTCGTCGGGGAGAACAAGGATCTGGTGGACCCTTATGTGCATGTGCTCTTTGCCGGGCAGAAGGTATGCGCACACGTCCCTTCCCACACGCCCTGCCTCCTTTTCCTTCCGAGGAACTCGGGGCAGCCCTCCTCCTCCTCCTCCTCCTCCCAGTCTTTCCCCGCCAACAGCAGCCCCGTGAGGTAGGCTGGGCTGAGCCTGGCCCAAAGGCACCCCATCGGCTGCATGGCCCAGCAGGGACGAGAACCCAGGTCGCCCCAGTCCCATGCGCTTCATGCGCTTCGCCACGGGCGCTCGGTGTGCAGGCGCGTTGACAGGTGGGCCCCATGGGGCCTTTCCGGCTCGCTGAGCGGCACGACGGGCGCTCTTGGCAGGTGCCGGAAAGGTGTGGGGTTGGCTCTGTGCCCAGGCTGCTTGGAGCATCCTTCCCCAACTCGGCACTTTCCTGATGTGTGGGACATCAGCTCCCATCAGCCCCGTCGAGCGGCCTGCGGTCAGAAGTGCAGCCCGTCGTTGTCCCAGCTAGCAGGAAACCGCCAGGCTGCAGGGGCCTGTGTTCGGGTCTCTTGCATGGATCTGTTTGCGGCCCTCGAAACGATCGGCTTCTAGCGGTCAGGGAAGGAGGATGAAATTCACAGGCAGCGATGCTTTGCTCTGCGCGCACTCGGGCTGCCGATCCGGCGGCCGGTGGGGAGGCGAGCCGTCGGGGCGTGTCCTGCAGCGCTGCCTCTTGGCTCCCTGGCTGCCCTGCTGCCCAGTAAGATGAAGCCGCCCGTCTTGTTCAGACTCACATCGGCTGCACTGAAGTTGCTTGCGGCCTGGCACCTCCCGTCTCCCGGAGCATCCCGTCCCGCCCTTGACAGTGCGGGCTCCTGGCCTTACGGGACTCGCCAGAGTCCTCCCTGCGTGAAGTGGCACAAGTGGGCAAACCTGCAAGGCCTTCCAAGGTCCCGGTCGAGGTGGCTCTGGGAAGCCCCCGTGGGCTGCTGTGTTTGAGCCTCCAGTGCCCCCTCCTGAGGTCGCCGGAGGCTCGCTGGGGGAGCGGGTGCCACCTGGCAGGGTCAGACCTGAGCAAGGGGGTCATGCCGCATCCCAGCAGGGCAGGCAAGGTTGGGTCAGGCAGGTCAAGGTAGGAGCACCAGGCTCAGCAAGCCAGAAGGCAGAAGCGCTCTTGGGCGTAGGAGACCACCGGTGGCTTGGAAGGAGCTATAGGCAGATGTTGTCTCAGCAGCAAAGCAGAGCCAGTGGAAAGCCTCGTGGAAGTGGCCACCGCTGGCAGGGCATGAGTCGCTGGCTGGGGGATGAGAAGGCCCTGCCTGATCTGCAGGCTTCATATCTGCAAGGCTGGGGAGAAGTCCTTCCGCTGACTTGGAGGAGAGGCATGGCTACCCACCAGGTGGCCCTTCTTCTGGCCCTCATCTTCACAAGAGTCTTCGTGAAGCCTTCGTGAAGCCTGGAAAGGCAGCGGCCTGGGAGACGCGGTGCCCAGAGGCACATGAAGGGCCACTCCGGGGAAGGAACAGTTGGCCCATTGGCCTCTCAGGCTTGGTGCCCCGGGGCCCCTCTCACAGCTCTGGTCCCTCCTTGCTCAGGGCAAAACCTCCGTCCAGAAGAGCTGCTATGAGCCCCTCTGGAACGAGCAGATCGTCTTCACAGAGATGTTCCCGCCACTGTGCAAGCGGATCAAGGTGCAGATCCGGGACTCGGACAAGGTCAACGATGTGGCCATCGGGACCCACTTCATCGACCTCAGGAAGGTCTCCAACGAGGGAGACAAGGGTGAGTGGACGGGAGCGCCGTTCGCCCGCGGAACCGCCTCTTCCCGGGCTCGTGCGCGGCTGGGGGCGCCCCGTTTCCCAGCAGGTGCATGTGGAAGGGGTGTGACGGGGGCTCTGCGTGCGCGTCTCCATGCCTGGGCTAATCCGAATTGGCGGGCCTGGGGCCGATTCAAGGAAGCCGCTGCTTGCGGAGGGGCTCCGGTGGGCGGCAGTGGCTAGCTCACCCCAGTCAGAGGCTGCACCGTTCCTGGAGGGGCCGCCTCACTGAAGACCCCGTAAGGAGAGCAGCAGCGGGAAAAGAGCCTTCCACAACGGGAGAGCACTCAGCACCCCGGTTTTAACTGACAGCGCCCCTGGAGTGGCGGCTTCTGGCCCAGCAGCGGCCTGAAAGCACCCCCGCCTCCGGGCGATGCTCCTAATGTTCAAAAGCAACTAACCACGGGCAGCTGGTCACCCCCGTGAGTCTGTCTGTCTGCCCACCGGTCGGAAGGCGAGGCAGGGGCTGTGTCCCTGGCGCTTTTCGGGCAGTGGGGCTCTCGCTGCAGCACTCGGCCTCCTCTCAGACCTGTTTGCATGGCCAGCGACCAGGGGGGCATCATAAATTAGAGGAGGGTGGACGCGGGGGGGGGGGGGGGCCGCCGGGGGGAGCGGTGGCTGTGCTGCTGCTGACCCGGAGCCCTCGTGGGAGAAGCCTGGCGTGGGGGACGGAGGGGGGTCAGTGGCCGAGGGGCCGGAGTGCGGCCGGGTGGGAGGCGGGGCCGCCGTCTGCCTGCAGCCCCTTCGCGAGCGAGCGGGTGCCCGCTGGCTGCCCGGGTCCTCTGCTGGTGGGCCCCTCGCGAAGGGAGCCGGGGGGAGCCGCCCACCCGCCCGGGGCGAGCGACGTGCGAGCGGACGTGCCGTGTTCCTTGCCAGGCTTCCTGCCCACCTTCGGCCCGGCCTGGGTGAACATGTACGGCTCCACGCGCAACTACACGCTCATGGACGAGCACCAGGACCTGAACGAGGGGCTGGGCGAGGGGGTCTCCTTCCGCGCCCGCCTGCTGCTCAGTCTGGCCGTGGAGATCCTGGATGCCAGCAGCCCCGGCCTGAGCAGCTCCACAGAGGTCCAGGTGGAGCTGGCCACCCCCGTGCCCGACGTGAGTGCCCGCCTCGCTCGCTGCCGCCGGGCGCCTCCCCACGCCCGGGCCCTCCCGCATCAAAACGGGGCAGAAGCCCCTTCCCCTTCCGGCGGGCGTGGGGGGCGGCCCGGTATTGGGCCGTGCCGGGCAGGAGGGAAGCCAACGGCTCGTGCCCGGCTCTGAGGCCGCAGCCAAAGGCGCTGCGTGATGAATCGCCCCTGCTGAGCTGGAGGACGGGCAAGCCTTCCTCCCCGAGACCCCGGGGCCCCCTCCGGCAGTGGGTGGGCTGCAGGCCGAAGGGCAGGGCCCACGTGGCGGCACCTGGTCCTCTAGCCCTCCCCCATGCTGGAGGGGCGGCCCTCCTGCCCTTGGAATGGGGCTGTGCACAAGCCGGAACCGCGGGACAGCGGGCGCTGGGGGGAAGCGGTGGGCAGCAAGGCAGCCCCAGGGCCCTGGCCTGGGAGGCGCGGGGGGCGGGCAGAGAGAGCCCCTGGGGAAACAGGCCTGCCCTCTCATCCCGCGAGCCTCCAGGGCCGCCCGACTTCCGCCTGCTTCCATGGGGGGCCTTTGCATCGCAGAGCCGGCGATCATCCCCGCTGCGGCCGGGGGAGAAGGGAGCTCAGCGGCAGGAGCAGTGGCCCTTTAAAGATGGCTTGCCCTGCCTTTTCCTCACGGGGGACGCAGGGCGCTGGCACAGCGCTCTGGCGACCCCCTTGTGTCCTCGCAGCAGCTCTGAGGGAGCCCAGCGACGAACCCGTGGCGGCCAAACGTCATGCGGGGCTGATGGACTCGAACCCGGGCAGCCCGGGTCCCAGCCGCACACGCCTCCCCGCCCCCACGCTGGCGGTCCCTGGCCCCGATCTTTAGAAGGAAACCTGCCCGTCACGCCAGACCAGAGGCAGAGGCGCCCCCACCCAGGGCCACACGGTGCCCCACAAGCGCCTCCAGCAGCTTCCCCCCAACCCAAAGGGGGGACCCCAGTGGGGCGCATCGTCAAGGCCCCGCCCGGAGCCGAGCTCTGGTGGGGAAAAGCACCCCTTGCTAGGAATCGCCCCTGCTGGGATGCAGCCCCAGAGACCCCCCCCCCCACCTGGGATGCAGCCCCCGCCAGAGCGGGTCCCCACCCCTGCGGCAGCGAGGGGTTTTGTGCTGGGACCGCCAGGCCATCTCCCTCTCCCCAGAACTGCACGGGCAAGATGGAGGAGTTCTTTCTCTTCGGGGCCTTCCTGGAGGCCACCATGATCGACCGGAAGAACGGGGACAAGCCGATCAACTTCGAGGTCACCATAGGTACGCGCAGAAGGGGGTCCCCGCCAAGGGGCACCTCCCCCAGGCGCTCCTGCCTTCCACGGCAGGCGCTCTCGGGCCGCAGCCTTCCCAGGAGGGCACCTTCATGGACCGCTGCAGGCGGGAAATGCCGGCACGCGTCCCCCGGGGCCGGCCGGCCGGTCTGGTGCCGCTCCGGCTCTCTGCCTCCCCCGTGTTTGCCCTGCTCCTTGGGCGCAGGCGGGACCCCCAGCGAGGGGGCCGTGGAGCCTCGTTCCGCGCTCGGGGCAAGGCGGCACCTCTTGGCTGCGGGGAGCGCGGCCGGGAGAGCCGCCTGGCGCCCCGACGGGCCGAAGCGCTGTGAGGGTGGCCGCACATGCCGAGCGTGGGCCTCCCGCTCGCTGGCCCCCCTGACCCCGGCCCCTTCCCCAAGGCAACTACGGCAACGAGATCGATGGGATGTCCAGGCCGGCCGTCAAGAGGAGGAAGGAGGGCGGGGATGGCAACGAGGAGGAATCCGAGCTGCTGCAGAACGAGAGCGACGAGGAGGGCGGCGACGGCGGCGGGGAGTTCGCCTCGGTCTCCACCTCTCCCCCCATGAGGCCTTTGGTCACAGACAGGCAAGTGTCATGGAGAGGACTGGTCCCCCAAGAGGAGGCGGCGGCGGCGGTGGTGGCGGCTGGGGTGGTCGGCAGGCCCGGGGGTCTGTCCCCCTGCGCTCCCTCCCCTCGGTTCAAAAAAGCCGCTGCCGGACTTGGAAGTCTAAATAAACCTTGTCTACTGGATTACCCAGTAGTTTGCTGACTCTCAAAGAACTCTAGAAGGTTAAAGAGGTAGGACTTACCGTTGTAAAAGCCATGCTGATTCCTGCTCAGCAGGGCTTCTCCTTCCATGTGTTGATACATTTAATCTTTAATCAAGCTTTCAGCTAATTTTCCCAGACCAGTTACATATTTCTGTAAGAAAGTCAGCAAGTTCATATTTGAGTTCTTTCAGAATTCTGGACTGAATAGATCATGGTCTGGTGATTAATTTTCATCTTCTCAGAACGTTCTCTTAGGGACAAATGCCAAGTTCTGCACCTGGGAAAAAGAAACCAAATGCACCCCTCCCAGATGGGGAACACTTGGCTCCCCAGTACTGCAGATGAAAAGGACCCTGGGGTCATTGTGGGCCATCCGCTAACTATGAGCCGACAATGTGATGCAGCTGCAAAAAGGGCAAATGCTCGTTTGGGCTGCATGACAGAAGCGTCACCACCAAAACATGTGAAATGCAAGTTGCTCAGCACTCGTCAGGCCTCACCTGGAGTCCTGCGTCCGGTTCTGGGCACCTAAGTTTGAAACAGGTGCAGAAAAGCGAGAAAGGGCCCGGAGGAGGGCGGCAAGGGAGATCCGGGGCCTGGAGAAAGAGCCCCGGGAGGAGAGGCTGAGGGAACGGGGCATGTTCGGCCTCGAGAAGAGAAGGCGGAGGGGGGACGGGGTGGCACTCTGCAGGCACCCGAAGGGCCGCCACAAAGAGGGGGGGCAACATCTCATTCCCGAGCGCAGGACACGGAGTAACGGGCTGAAGTTCGAGGGAAGTGGACCTAGACTGGGCAGCAGGAGCAATTTCCCCACTGTCGGAGCAGTGCAGCCGGGGAGCCTTTCGCCCGGGCAGCTGCAGGCTCTCCCTCGCTGGAGACGTTCGGGAGCATTTGGCCAGCCCCCCGCGTGGGACGGTGGGACGGGGTGCCCTGCAGCAGCGGGGGCTGGGCCCGAGGGCCCTCTGGCCCCTTCGGGCTCCCCTCTCCGGCGTTTCCATGCTCCTCTGACGTCCGTGTTCCCTCCCGCGGCTCCAGGAACTACTTCCACCTGCCGTACTTCGACAAGAAGCCTTGCATTTACATCAAGAGCTGGTGGCAGGACCAGCGGCGGCGCCTCTACAACTCGAACATCATGGACAAGATCGCGGACAAGCTGGTGAGGGCCTGAGGGAGCTGGGGCCACGGGGTCGGAGCGGCCGCAGCCCCGGGGCCCGCACGCCCTCCCCTCCCCTCCCCTCCCCTCCACCGGCGGCCCCGGGCCGGGAAGGCCCCCGCTGCCCGCTCGCTTCTGATCCCCAGGAGGAAGGGCTGAACGACGTGCAGGAGATGATCAAGACGGAGAAGCCGCACCCGGAGCGCCGCCTCCGAGGCGTCCTGGAGGAGCTGAGCAGCGGTTGCCTGTGCGTGGGAGAAGAGCCCGGGGCGGGGCGGGGCGGGGGGGGTCCCTGGGCAGCGGGAGGCGCCCCCCACACCTGCCCCCCCACGGCTGTGCTGGGCTGCAGCGCCCTGCATCTCCAGACCGCATCGGGGTGGGACGCGCAGGCCAGCGCAACTGGGAGGCCCCGCTGGGAGAGGCTGGCCATCCAGGGAAGCCAGCGGCGCTGGAGGCGGATGCGGCGCCGCGCTGGATTGTGTCCCGTTGCTTTGCGTGGGCTTCCGCCTGGCCTTTCCGGATGGGGCTGCTCTCTCCAAAGCGCCCCCCCCCCCCACATGGCGTTCCCAGCAGACCTGGGGCGGGATGGTCCGTGCGGCACCGCCACTCGCAGGGCTGGGCTGGGGCGCAGCGGATCCGGCCGCCCTCCATCTGCATGCAAGGGAGCAAACCTCACAGAGCTTGGGGGGGGGGGCTCTACTTCTGTGTAAACCTTGCCCAGGTTGTAAGGCTGCACGCGAGCATAAATGAAATGTGAATGGATGTAAAGGAAAGCCCGGCTTTTTTCTCCACACACCGGGTCCTTTTTTCTTATTTCCTTTCCCAGAATCCCCAGATTTATTAGTAGTAGGACCAAATCGCCCCACTAAAGCTGGCCAATTAGTTTATGGCTGCCTAAAAGTGTGCACACCAGCCGTCTCCCCGTGCGCTATTTTCCTTAAAACAACTCTGAATCATATTTATTCATGTCTACTTACATGCGTTTCCAAGGCTAAGCCGTGCCGAAGCGGTCCCCGGGATAAAATTACGGAAGAGCGAAGTGCAGCCGAGACGGGCAGGACAAACCCTGTAACAGCAGGGGAAAAGAGCCCAATTTTCCAAACGATGATGAGCCGCCATTTCTCGGAAAGGCGGCCGCAGCACCCCGGCGTCACGCTCCGTGGCAGGACGGCAGCGGCTGCCCCATGGCGTGGGCCTCCTGCCCCTGGAAGGGTGGGGCTGGCTCGGACCCCCAGGGCCATCCCAGCCACACAAACCTTTCTTTTCGGAGTACGGGCCACGTCGCCAAAGGCCAAGGCTGTTCCGCCGTGGGCTGCTTGGATGCAGCTGGGCGCTTCCCCTTCCGGGTATTTGCCACGGGTTCCCATAATGCCGGGTTTTGTGGAATGGCTGGGAATAGCTTGCCCCTTCCTGCGAGCGCGGTCGAACTGGGGGGCAGGTTGCTTCCACCGAATCTCTCCGGAGGGCCTGGGTCTCCTGGGGTGCTCCAGGACCGACCTCACGGCCGGGGCCCCCCAAAGGGGTCCCCTGCTCCCGAGCTTAGTGGCACCCCTTCTCTCCCCTCCCGCCTCCCGTTCCCGCCCAGGCGGTTCGTGACCCTCGCCAACAAGGACCAGAGCCACGTCTCGCGCACGCGGCTGGACCGGGAGAGGCTGAAGTCCTGCATGCGGGACCTGGTGAGTATGAGGGGCTGGGGGCCCGGCGGAAGCCAGAGGCGGGGAGGGTGGCGGGTGGGGGGCTTGCCCGGCCTGCCCAGGGGAAAATCCGTTTCTCCTGCATACAGGGCTGCTTGGATGCGGCTGGTGCTGAAAGCACTTCCGTTGGAGTTGCTAATTTTGGCAAGCAAGGGCGCACCCGGCCTCGCCAGCTGGAAATCCCTACGCCAGGCCGTTAATGGGAATGCCTTCCCCCCCCAGGCCAGCCCCTCCTCAGCAGCCTTGCTTTCACAGGGAGACGCTTCAGCTCACTCTGAGAGGCTCTCCCACTGATACCGGTGGGAATCATGAGGGGGTCGCCGTGCCTGGATCGTGCGCACAGCCCAGAGACCGAAGCTCACGCCCGGTCCGCATGTTTCGGCCTCCCTCTTGATACTCCCTTACGAGGCCCATAGAGACGGGGCTGCGGGAGGGTCCCTGGGGCGGGGGACCCAGCCCGCTAGCCCATCTCCAGCGCCTCCTTCGGCCTCGCCTCTCTCCTCACAGGAGGCCATGGGCCAGCAGGCGAAGGCCATGCGCTCCCAGGTCAAGAAGACCACCATCCGGGACAAGCTGAAGCAGGCCCAGAACTTCCTGCAGAAGCTGCGCTTCCTGGCCGACGAGGTGAGGCGGGGGCTGTCCTTCTGGGGCTCCGCGCTGGGCTGGTGGGGGCCAGTCCCCTTGGGCTGCGGCCCCGGCGTGGGGTGGGGGCCCACGGGGCGGACTGGCACTGCGGGGACCAAGCCGAAGGGGAGGGAAAGCGGGGGGCCGCCCCGGCGATGAGAGCCCTGCCCGGAGGAGGCCGGGGAGGGCGGGCGCCCCCGGGCCCCCTGACCCTCCGCCTGCCTGCAGCCGCAACACAGCATCCCGGACGTCTTCATCTGGATGATGAGCAACAGCAAGCGGGTCGCCTACGCACGCATCCCCTCCAAGGACATCCTGCACTCCATCGTGGACGAGGAAGCGGGCAAGGACTGCGGGAAAGTGAAGACTGTCTTCCTGAGGGTGAGCCGGCAGCCCCGCTCGGGGTCGCGTGCCGTTGGCCGAGGGGAAGGGGCATGAAAAGCAATGGGGGGCGCCAAGGCCTTCAACAATTCTGTGGCAGGCAGACGTCCCACAGGAGAAGCCGTTTGCTTCTGCCCTTGGGAGGCCAGTGGTTCAGCTGGCGAAGCAGGGATGGGGAACCTGCAGCCTGCAAGGCGATTTGGCCTGTGGGGCTTCCTTGTGCTTCTCTGGTGGGCAAGGCTTGGGGGGGGGGCAGGGGGGAGGTTGGGGGCAGCTCCCGTTCGCTTCTCCCAGCAGACTTTGCCCTCAAGCCCACTAGGAAGGGAGGGCTCTCTCTCCACCGGCTGAGAATAAATCAGTCTGGAACAAGGAATGCCATTTTTGAGGCCTGCCCATGTCAAAAGCCAGAAGGTTTCATGGAAGGTGTTGTAATTATAAGAACTGCAGCAGCTCAGGATCCTGGATTCCCATTTCCTCTGCACGCCACGTTGTGATGTGCGGCATTTGAGTTCCACTGGAGGTTTTCCAAGCATTGCAAAATGGCGCCTTCTCCAACCCAGTGCCCTCTGAATTGTTGGAGCGCAATTCCCATCATGCCCACCATCGCGGGTTGGAGAAGGCCGCTTTAAGATCAAGGTCGCGTGCCCCTGAGAGCACACTCGGCGGAGCTGAATTGGACCCTGCACCCAGGGCAGATCCCGAGCGCAGATAAAGGGGCGGCGTGTGGGGGGCCCACGGGAAAGGCACAGTTGCGGAGCGGCGTCTCCTCCGTTGCCCCCGCCTCAGTTGCCCGGGAAAAGGGGCTTCGGGCCGGCCGGCTGGACGGTGCAGGCCAAGATGGAGATCTACCTGTGGCTGGGCCTCAGCAAGCAGCGGAAGGACTTCCTCGGCGGGCTGCCGTGCGGCTTCGAGGAGAAGAAGCTGCCCCGGGGCCAGGGCCTCCCGAGCTTCCCGCCCGTCAGCCTGCTCTACACCAGTAAGCGCATCCCCCGCCTGCTCCCGGGGCTGCCGGGGCCCCAGACCGCCTCGGGGTCCTCGGTGCGCGGGGCCCATGCCTTTGGCCGCTGGGGCAAGGCCGGGCGGGTGGTCTCTGCACTGGGGGTCCACATCGGGAATCTCCCCCCGGCGCTGGGTGCTTCTCCCGCGGCTTGGGAGGGGCCCGCTGGGGGGCCGCAGGACGGCCGGCGTCCTCCCCGCTCTTGGCCAGCGCTCCCCACGGCACACTTTGGGGGCTACCCCACCCGCTCGGGCCTCCTGCCGCTCTTCCGTGGCACCAGGGGGCTCGCAGGGCAGCTGTCCCCGTGCCGGCACGTGGGACCCACCCAAACGGCAGCTGGCCGGGCTGGTAGGGCCGCACGGAGCCCCTGCAGCGCCCCCGGGTGGGTCCAGTGGTGCCGGGCAGGCATGGCCCACCTCGGGATGGCCCCCGCTGCCCCACGCCGCGACGGCGGCGCCTGCACCTGCCCCTGCCCCTGCCTCTACCTCGTCCGCGGCGGCTCTGCCAGGGCGCTGCTCCGTCCGCTTCCCCCGCAGAGAAGCAGGTCTTCCAGCTGCGGGTCCACATGTACCAGGCCCGGAGCCTGTTCGCGGCGGACAGCAGCGGCCTCTCGGACCCCTTCGCCCGCGTCTTCTTCATCACCCAGAGCCAGTGCACTGAGGTACGCCTTTGCCTCGGCCCGGCCGGGGTGCCGAGCCAGGGCTTGCGGGCCGATGCGGCCCTCCCGGGGCTCGTGTGGCTGGCCCTCCCGCGGAGCGCCCCCCCTCGGGCACGGGCACGGGCACGGGCGCGCGTGATGGGGCTGCCTCTCTGCAGGTGCTCAGCGAGACGCTGTGCCCCACCTGGGACCAGCTGCTGGTCTTTGACAACGTGGAGCTGTTCGGGGAGGCCCACGAGATGCGGGACGACCCGCCCATCACCGTCATCGAGATCTACGACCAGGACACGGTGGTGAGCGGGGCCGGGGGGCGGGGGGGCAGCTGGCCAGGCCCCACGGGCTGCGGGGAGGCGCCTGCGCCCGGGCTGTCCCCGAGGGTCTCCGCGCCTGGTCTCTCCGCTGCCCCTTGGCGCTCGGCCGCGGCTCCAAGCCGGATGTCCGGCGCGCCTGCTGGACCACTGGACGCAAGCGGGAGCCTGTCTGGCAGCTCAGCTGGGGCACCACTCCCCCTCCCGCCCGGCTCGGCTCCCTCACCCCGGAGCCCCTGCCGGGGGCTTATTTGCAGAAGCGGGGGTCCCGTGACCTCGGCCAGGCTGCGCGGCACGGGCTCCCCACCGAGTCCCGCAGCCTGCAGGGACCCCCGGCAGCCCCCAAGGAGGAGGACGCTGCCCTTGCCCCAGTCGCGACCCCCTCCCGCTCGCTGCCCCTCCTTCCAGGGCAAGGCGGACTTCATGGGCCGGACGTTCGCCAAGCCGGTGGTGAAGATGGCGGACGAGGAGTACTGCCCGCCCCGCTTCCCGCCCCAGCTGGAGTATTACCAGATCTACCGGGGCAACTCCACGGCGGGGGACCTGCTGGCCGCCTTCGAGCTCCTGCAGGTATCGCCGCTCCTGAACCCGCCAAGTGGGGAATTCCAGGCCGCGTCCCGTCCCAAAGGCAGCGCATTCCTCCCTCGCGCCGGCCTCGCCTTCGCCTTCTTTCTCCGCCGCCGTCTTTGCGAGTGGGCGGTGTCTCGGCCACCTGCTTTCCTCGTGGCCCGCCTGGTGGGGCAGTGCTTCCCCCGTCTCCGGTCTGTGGCTCCGCTTTTTGCCCCGCTCCTGGCCCAGCGGCTGGCCGGCCAGCCTTCCTTCCCGCCCTCCCTCTCGCCCCCATGTTCGCAGCTTCCTTACCATGGTGAAGAGCCCGGGCAGGCCTTGAGGCTCCCCCCAGCCCGTGCACACCACACACCAAGGTGCCTTCCAGCCCCCGGCTGCCTGCGTCACGTGGGGGCTCTCTGCAGCCTCGCAGCCCTTCTCTAGTCTGATCCCGGCTCCTCTCTGCCCCCGCACGGCCGGGACGGTGCCACGTTCTGCCTGCCACCCGCAGTTCTGCTTCTCCTCCCTGAACCCCTCGCTGGAGCAGGCAGGGCCGTGGCATGTGGGGAGCCATCCGAGCTGCTATGCTGGTCTCCCAGAGGGAGGGGTCAGCTTGCCTCCCACCCCCTTAAACACTGGCACCTCTAAAAATGATCGGCACATGCGCAGCCTCGATGTCTGCAGGGGTTCGAGGAACCCGTGTGGCTGCAGTTCTGGTCATGGCAGACAGACGAGACGGTGGCCGGGTGGGCCTCCGTTTCTTTGCCGCACGAGGAAGTAGGTGGGTTTCTCCCCCGAGAGCAGAGCAGAGCGCACCTTGCGCTGCCTCCTCCTCGCCCCCCTCCTTTATCCGATATGCCATCCCTTCCTTCCGAGTCAGAAGCCTCTGGGGCGTGTAGCCGGAAACAGGCCCGTTGCTGTGCTTGAATTCCCGGTGGAATCCGGTTGCCGGCGCAGGGGCTGAGAATCTGGCCTTCCTGATGGACGGACAGACGGACGGACGGGTCTGGGCGAGGGCCGTGCGGGCCGCAGAGGGTGGGACGCAGCCGAGGGGCCGCCCCGCTGAGCCGCTCCGTCCTCTCTTCCAGATTGGTCCCGCTGGGAAGTCAGACTTGCCCCCCATTGACGGGCCCACAGACGTGGACCGCGGGCCCATCCTGCCGGTGCCCCTGGGGATCCGCCCGGTGCTGAGCAAGTACAGAGTGGAGGTAAAGGGCCAGAGCGTGGGTGTCCCTTTGGAGACCAGGAGTGTGGCCCGCGGAGTCCCGTCACGCTCCAGCCACACACCTGGGCAGGTGTGCTCGTCTCTGTGCAGCGCAGGTGGGGCTCCCTCTGGGCGGGCTCCGCGGGGCAGGAAGGGAGCGGCTGGGCTGGGTGTGCGAGCAGAGCTCCCGGGCACACGCCCCCGCGCCCATTCTTCGAACTGGGCACAGAAGTGAGGCCTGGGGACATCTCGGTCCCCTCCCCACACCTGCCACCCGGCTCGCGGCACGAGAGGGGCGTGGAAGGTGCAGGAGCTGCCCGGTCTTCCCAGGGCGCGCCGCTCGTCTCCCGGTCCAGCAGCACCTCTTCGCATGACTCAGGCAGGCGCAGAAATTCCTGTGTTAGAAGTGCCCCTTGCGTCCCTTGTGTGGCACGGATAGAAGTGGCGGGGCGTGAATGTCAAGCCTAGTTCTTAAAACAGAGAGAGAAAGGAGCAGTCGAAATACGAGTGCGAAGGGATGCAAAGCCGAAGCAATCGCAGAATGAAAATGTTGTGGGCGACTTAGGGGGACGAACGACATAATTCATCATGTGGCACATGCTGCAAGTACCCAATTTGCTGGTCGCCACGTGGAAAGCCACGTCGTCTTGCTCGTGGGTTGTGGCTGTGGCGGATGCCGGTGGGGGCTGCCCTCCTGGTGGGACGAGCAGGCACGGCGTTCCCATCCTGCTCACGGTTGGGGGCGCAGCCCCCGTGCTTCTCAGGTCCCCCAGCAGGGCCTCCAGTTTATTTATTAAACTTGCATGCCACCCGGGGGCTCTCTCCAGGCAGCTCTTTTCCTTACGGGCACATAAATGGGAACTGAATGCCTGGCCCAGCTGGAGTCACACTGAGCACTTTGGATCTGCCCAGCACCAGAGAAGCGCCGCCCGGAGATGCCCCTCGGTGGCCCCGTGGCCTGGGCAGGGGCCTCTCCTGAGCTGGGCGCGTTGCATCTCCCCTCCAGATCCTGTTCTGGGGTCTGAGAGACCTGAAGCGGGTGAACCTGGCCCAGGTGGACAGGCCCCGGGTGGACATCGAGTGTGCTGGCCGGGGGGTGCAGTCCTCCCTCATCCAGAACTACAAGAAAAACCCCAATTTTAGCACCTTGGTCAAGTGGTTTGAAGTGGTGAGTCTCCGCGGGCAGTTGAGGGCCGGCACGAAGAGCGGGCAGGGGAGGGTCCCTCGGGGGCCCCGCAGCTGTGGCACTGGGAAGCAGGTCGCTAGCCGGCCCCCGCCACCCCCCGCGGCCGAGTGGGCGTCTGGGAGAGCGCTCCTTGGTGGCAGGTCGCCGCGTTCCTGCACCGCCTTTCCGCGGGCTTCCCCTCCCTCCCTCCCTCCCCCCAGCCACTGGCCCCGTCTCCAGGAGCCCCAGGAGGACACGGGCCCTCCGGCCGGGACCCAATCCCGGCGCTCTGCGAGGCCCAGCAGGGCCCGCCTCTTCCTGCCAGCCACAGGCGGCTCGGTGGGCTCCCGGCTCTGGCGCGATTCCTCTCAAGCTCCGCAAAGCCTCTTCCGAGGCGCAGCGACCGGCAGCGAGCGCCTCGGGCCGAGCGAGACGTGGCTCCATCCCCCCTGCTTTCTGTCGCGTCTCCGCCAGCTAGCCTTGCCCCCCGCCCCCCCGCCGCAGCCCCTCGCTTCTCCAAAGTGGCATTTAGCCCCGAGTCTCTTGAAGTCGCTGAATTCCAGACTCAGTGGGAATTCTTCCTCAGCCCGTGCCAGCACATTCAGTCGGTGGGTCATCGCCCACCCAGATTTCTGCCACGATTGCTGCTTCTCCCGACACTGAGGGTGCCTGGACCCCCCTCGACTCTGTTGGGGAGGGGCCGTGGGTCCCAGCCAGGTCCCGAGAGGCACGGCGAGCCAGCACGGCGAATAGGGAGCTGGGGGCGGCCGCCTGCCTCGGCACAAAGCCGCCCCCTGGCGTGGCAGTGCCCGCCCCCGCAGGCCACGGCAGGGTCTCCCCCACGCCAGGCCTGGATTCCCGTGTCCAGACGTGCCGCTGGCCCTTGCAGGACCTGCCCGAGAACGAGCTGCTGCACCCGCCCCTGAACATCCGCGTGGTCGACTGCCGCGCCTTCGGCCGCTACACCCTCGTGGGCAGCCACGCCGTCAGCTCCCTGCGGAAATTCATCTACAGGCCGCCAGATAAGAAGGCTCAGCACTGGAGCACCGCAGGTAGCCGGGCGGGGGGGGGGCGCCTGCGGGAAAGAGGGCCTCGTGGGGGCAGCAGGCGTGGCTGGGCAGAGGGCCCCGCTTCTCGGCGCATCGTCAGCCGAGGTCGGCCTGCCGGAGCGGTGATGGGGAGCTGCTTGCAGGAGCAGCAAGACCTGCCCGGAGTGTGTGCAGAGGGCGAAGGAAGCAGCAGGGCCCTAGTTCAAAGCACGCAAGGGCCAAGGATGCCCGGGGGAGCCTGGCCCAGCCACTCGCCTCTGAGCCTGCGCCGCCCCGAAATCCATGGAAACACAGAACATAGGAGCATAGAAAGAGAGTGAGTCAGAAGGGTTCTCCTGGGCCATCTAGTCTGACCCCTGGCTCCAGCCGGCTCCACTCATGACGTTCGGAGGCGACTGGGTTGACCCGCACTACGTGTGCCCCGTAACCGTTCCCGAGTCGCCGTGCGCGGCACGCTCTGGAAATCTCCCGCAATCCGGTGACCTCCAGGTGGGTCAGACCCCAGTTCCAGCGAACGCATCCGAAGGGTGGCCCGCTGGGGCCAGACAGACACGGCATGCCGCGGTGGCAGACGCATCTCGGCGCGTCCGTCGCATGAATGTCCCTGTGTGCTTCTCACCCGTGTGAGTTTTCTCTCTGAAGCAAAGCCGCTGTCCTGCGCTCTCTCCAGAGGTCTCCCGTTCCTCGGTCTCGCGCGCCTCGCTTGAGCTCCTGGCTCCTAAAACGGCTCCTGTCCGCTCTCTTTCTCTTTCTTTCTTTCTTTCTTTCTTTCTCGCTGCGTGTGCCCGGTGCTGCTTCTCTCTTCCTCTGTCCAGCTAAGCTCATGAGCGCCTACACGGCCCTGGCCAACGGAGGGCCCTGCTCTCGTCCCGCAGGTGAGATCGTGGTCAACATGGAGCCCGAGGTCCCCATCAAGAAGATGGAGACCATGGTGAAGCTGGAAGCGGTGAGTGGCCCCCGACGGAGCCTGGCTCGCGACGGATGAGGCTTCGTCTGGCCGGTGTGTGACGCGGAGGCCACCAAAGCCAGAGCGGCCCCTCCCGCCCTTCCGCACCCCGGGCGACCCCTTGCACATCTCTGAAAGAGGGCACCGATTCGCACAAAAGCTGCACGTGTCCCTTTGCAGGGAGAGGTGCAACTCTGGAGACATAGAAACAGAGAAGCAGAGCGAGTCAGAAGGGGCTCGCGGGCCATCTAGTCTGACCCCCGGTCCAGCTGGCTCCGCTCACGACGGGCCCACCAGGGGCACGTCACCCACAGGTGTCCTCATGTCACTGGAAGCACGGAGAGCATGGCTGGCCCAGCCGCTCACGGCTGCCGAGCGTGGCGTCCGGCCTCTTCGCCGGTTCGGCCGCACAGACCCCCAGGAGCCGCGGCAGCCTCACCTGGCCGGGGCTTCCGGGGCCGCACCCCACCTGGCTCGCTCGCCGGAGTGCTGCGCTTCCACTGGTGGCGGCACGTTTTTCCACCCTCGGCTGAATCACCACGTGGGGGACCTTCCGCTTCCACCTTCGCTGCAGCAGCTCCACTGTCACCAAAATCCTTTTCTCTGCATGGGAATTAAGTAATACAAATCAAGCTGCCCCCCCTTGCCCCCTGCTTTGGGGGGATCTGGGTCAGGAAGCAGGGCGGTACTGTGGTCCGACACGGGACTGGGACCCGGAAGACCTGGTTCTGGTCCCCCCTCGGCCGCAAAACTCAGGGAGTGACTTTGGGTCAGACGCTCGCTCTCAGCCGAACCCACCTCACAGGGCTGTTGTGAGGATGAGGCTGAGAGGAGGGGAAAGCTCCAAGCTCCAAGCCGCCTTGGATTCCTCGAAGGAAAAAAAGGCAGGATAAAAATATACTCAGTAACTGAAGAATTTCGCTTAGTTTGAGATGCCTTGGATGACATTTTAAAAACCCTAGCATTTCTTTCGAATGCATGTCCAGGTATGAATCAGCAGCCTTTGGTCCCCAGCAAAGCGCCCGAGGGCTGGGTCCCTGCGCTGCCTCACCTTCAGCCCTTACAGCCAGTACCCCTCTCTTTGGTTGCTTTTGGGGTGGTACCTGCCCCCCATCACCCCAGTGTTTTGCCCCCCCAAGCCTCTGTGGACGCTTTGCAGCCGGCTCTCGTAACCGTCGTTTTCTTCCTCCCTGCCCTTCCCTGGTGCCAGAATTCGGATGCGGTCGTGAAGGTGGACATGGTGAGTGCTTGGCGCTGTGCTGGGGGCGAGCCCCGGTTCCCACTCCTGTCTCCCGGAGGCCTCTTCCCAGCACGGGGAGAAATCCCAGTCTGGTGGAAATCCCTGCTCCCAAAGCGCGGGGAGCGGGCTGAATTTGGGCTTCGGTGGGACGCACGCTTATGCGGCACCACCTGACGAGAAAGCGGGGCTGGGGGGAACCTCGCCGGCTGGGCAGCAGTGGGTCTTGCTGCCCCTGCCCTCAGATGGGTTGCAGAGGCATGGACAGGAAGCTAGCTTGGCTGGCAGCTCTCGGGGTTTCCGGGCCGGGCGGCTTCCGACTGGGCACGGCCGTGGGCCCTTCTGCTGGCGAGGCAGCCGCTCTGCCACGGGAGCGCGAGGCTGTGGGGGCCCAGGACAGCCCTGGCAAGGCACCCCACTGTTCTTGGAAACGGCCCCATGGGCCGTGTCCACAGACCCTCGGCTCTGGCCTGGCGCAGGAGGGGGCGCTGCGGCATCTTAACTCTGCACAAGATGCACGGGGGCGCCTGCGGACACGGGGCGGAGGCCGCGTGTCCGGATAGCTCCGAGGCGAGGCCGAGAACGTGTGTGCTGAGCAGAGGGAGCGGAGCGGAAACCGTGCGTTTGTTGTACAAAGCGAGGCCCAAGAGCAGTGCGAAAGAGACACGCGGGCGCAGCTGAAGGAAGGCACCGTCCGGTCGATTTCCCCTGAGCCGCCTCCCCTGTGGGGATGGGGCAGCGGAAGGGGGCCTGGAGAAGCATGGAAGCAGAGCGAGCCGGAAGGGGCCTCCCGGGCCGTCTAGTCTGACCCCGGCTCCAGCCGGCTCCGCTCACGACATGCCCACCATGTGCACGTCCGGCCTGTCCTTGGACAGCCTCCCTGGAGAACTGGCGTACCTCCCCGTCCAGCGCAGACTTGCTGCCCACCAGGGCGGAGGTTCCCCCACCCTGGCCGAGCGCGGTCTCCCCATCCTCCTCCACCCGCCCACTGCGTGGGGCGCTAGACCTGGCAGCGTTTGCTTGCTGGACGGGGCGCTGCCCTCTGCCTCTTCCCCTCTGAAGCATGGGGAGAGCGTCCAGCTCTACAAGCAGTGCTGGGAGCAACTTCGTGCTAGGGAGGGACCGTAACTTCCTGCGGCATCAGGAAGCTCCGGCAGATGCCACGTGTCACGTCTGCCACCGAGTTCCAGGAGTTTGGCAGCTTGTGCCAGTCGCGTCCTCGAGGGCCCCCTGCTTGCCCTGGGGGGTGATGACCGCTGCAGACCGTCCCGGCAGGCGGAGCCGCTGCCCGCGGTCTCGGGGAGTTCCACCGGTGCACTCCCTGCACTCGGAGCGGCCGCCTGCTGTGGCAAACCGGGCCAGAGCGCCTGGGATTCTCCTGGGCCTGCAGGGAAAGGCTGCTGGGCCTTTGAGGCGGTGAGGCTGTCTGGTCTCGCCCCCCACGTCCCGCCCTTGGACAGTCCAGAGCAGGAGCGGGCAGGGGCACGAGGTCTGCAGCCGGGCAGTGCCACCACTGGCAGTCGGGGAAGGCCGGGCTTCGTGCCGCCTGGGCTCGTCCTCCCGTGCAGCCGTGCACCGGCCTGGGGTGCTCTCCCACTGAACGCCTCTGCTTGGGAACGGCGGTGCTGGGCTCCTGGAGGCCCTGGCGGCCACTGCCCATCCCAAGGTGGCGAGTTTGTAAAATACGTGGCTGCGGTGGCCACGCACCTCCAGAGGAGAGCATTAACCAGGCCGCTCTTGCAGTCGGAAGAGGAGAAGGACAAGGGGAAGGGGAAGAAGAAGAAGAAAGGCAGTTCAGAGGAGCCCGAGGAGGAGGAGCCCGACGAGAGCGTGCTGGACTGGTGGTCCAAGTACTTCGCTTCCATTGAGACGATGAAGGAGGTGGGCACTTGGCCGGGAGTCGCGGGCGCCGGGAGCTGCAGGGACCGCCCAGGGAGAGCGTAGAGCCGGGGCAGAAAAGAGAAGGGAGGCAGGCGCCCCAGGTGGTTCAATGGGCAAAATGATCTCCCTGTGATGCCTCTTCGCTGCAGCAAAAATGCACGCTGAACTCTGTCATTTTGGGTCAGGTGCACTTGTCGTCGTCCCCCCGTGCCCTCCCCCCCCCCCCCCGTCTTCAGATTGGGTTGGCCTCCCCCTGGCCATGATCCAAATGTCCTCTGATACTCGGCCATTGTGCCATTGAGGGAACAAGGTCAGGTCGGCCTGACCTGAGATGCCGCCTGCTCTGTGGTCTGGAGAAATATCCAAACCGTCAGAGTCGCAGCTGCCCGGCTTCTGCCGCATTCACCTGTCCCAGGTGTACAGTTTATTATCCTGACCCCTCGGATGAAGGAAGGCACGCGCCCCGCCTGGAGACAAGGCTCAGTGTGAGCCACGCCCCTGTTCTTTATGACCCACAAATGCGGGTCCTGCGGTTTCGTGTGGGTTGTGGCTTGGGCGGATTGCGGTAGGTTGGCTTCCTGCCCCCTCGTTCTACGGCCGGCAGCGGCGCAGTGACCTCTCCTGTCCGTGCCTGTTTTTCTAGCTACTTCGGCAACAGGAGGCAGCTGCAGCTGAAGCAGAGGAAAAGGAAGAGCTGGAGATGTCCGATGGTACGTTTTTGGAAAGCCGGAAGGCCGAGGGAACACGGGAGAACTGGGCAAGTGGGTGAATCCAGCCGGTCCCCGCAGCGCGTTTGCAGCATGAGAGGCCCGCGGCTGAGGTGCCGTTCGATTTAGCAGCTGTCAGACGGGAAAAAACCAGCAGTGCGCAATTCTCATCACTCCCAAGGGGGCCGTCACCTGCGGAGTGAGGTGCCTGCCGGGACAGCTGCTGAAGGCGAGCTTCGCCCTGCCGGCGCTCGGAGCTTGGCAGAACTGGGCGGCAGAGCCCAGGGTCGGGGTTAGGGATCTGTTGGCGATACACAGGTGTGTGAGGGGGAGTCATGCAGAGGTGGGTCATGACCTCCCCCCCGCCCCCGTGTGGATGAGGGCAGGATGCATTCCAATGGAGCAAAGCTCAGGAAAGCAATTTGGATGCCAGGAAGTGCTTCCAGGCAGTTAGGACCCCCAGGGTATGGAGTGGGCTTCCACAGGTGGTTATGGAAGCCCCATTAGTGGGGGTGTTCATGGTGGGCATGTCATGAGTGGAGCCGGCTGGAGCCGGGGGTCAGACTAGATGGTCGTGGAGGCCCCTTCTGACATGCCGTTTCCGTGTTTCTGTGTGGTATATCAGTCCAATTCAACGGGGCCCAAAGAATGCATTCCAGCATTACCAGCAATGACGAGGGGGTGGGGCGGTTGCCTCGGGTGGGGAGAGGGGGCCAGTCTGGGGTGGCAAAGTGGGGTTTTCTGAGCAGCTGTCCATCAGCTTCCGGGCCCCCCATGGCTGGGCGAGGCTTCTCGCCTCGGGCCGCCTCCCCTGCCGCCTCGGGCCTCCCGTCCGCCTCCCCGCTGCCTCCCTCACCTTTTCCTTTGGGGCTCAGAAATCAGGCTGGAGGACCCTCCTGCGAAAGGCGCCAGGGGCCACGGCAAGCCCAAGGAGAAGCTCCGAGTGCCCAAAGAGGAAAAGAAGAAGAAGCAGCAGCCGCCGCCAGACGCCCTGGAGAAGAAGCAGAAGCAGAAGATCGACGAGATGAAGGTGAGCCGACGTGTTTCCGGCCAAACGGAGGCTTCTGCCTCCCCCGTCAGGCAGCCCGTGGGGAAGACGCGTCCCGCCCCGTTGGCAAAGTTAGTGGCAGCGAGGGAGGAGACCCTGTTGGCATTTGTAATTTCTCGAGATTCAGAAAGACTCTGCAATTTTGAGATACCTCATTGGCAAGTGAACTAGACTAGGAATGTGCGAGTTTTAGTAAATCCATTCCATCGGTGCTGCACAGACTGAACTTGTCCTGCTCTGCTCATGGATGGATTCAGGCATTTTTGACCAGAACTGCATGCATTAATTTGCAACTTTACATCAGCATTAATGAGCCCTTGGACACAATTAGGACAAATGTGAAAAATTGGTCTGTGGGTCTTTGGAACCCACGTGACTCCAAAAATCCAGCCTGCTATGGAACCCACTGGGCGGAGTAACGGGGCTCTGGAATCATTTCCGTCAGTGGCAAATTTCTCCCATGGCCCTACATCAGGCCCCTGCTGCTGCCAGTCAGAGTAGCTGGCAGCCCCCCGACACACGCCATACTAACTCGGGGTGCATCAGCAGTGCTGCAGGCTTGCTGGGGGCCCGGGGTCCGTGCCCCGCTCCTCCTGGCAGGACCTCCAAGTCACCTGGTCTAGTCGGCGGTGGTGATTCTGTGCCGTCAAGGCACCCCAGCCCCCCGGAGGCCCTGGCTGCTCGGCAGTCTAGGTCCAAGCCAGTGGCTTCCTTCGTGGAGCCCGTCGTTCTCCGGCTCGGCCTCTCCTTTCTTCTCCGGCCTCTGGCTTTCGCGGGCACGACTGTCTTCTCCATTGGGAATGGTTGTTGCTGCTTGCCTGCGCTGCTCACAATACGCAGCCCAAAGTACCGCAAGAGAATTAAAAACACAAGGACACTCCGGACTGAAAGCAGCGAGAGCTAAGCCTGGGGGCCTCCCACACATCGTGGCACGGGTGACGCCTCTGCGAGGCTGGAGAGGCTGTGGAGTGGAGCTTTGGGAAGCTTCGATTGTGCATCGTTTGGGATCCCTTCCCCCCCAAAAAATGCCACTGGAATGGGTGAGGGCCACTTGCAGTCTGGCAGGCACGGAGGTCTGCCTGTGTGGGACAGGGCCACCGCACCGGCCAGGGGGGCTGGACTGGGGCTCTTCTGGTGGCCGGAGGCCCACTGCCCACTGCCCTCGACTCGTCGCCATCGCAGGTGTACCCCAAAGAGCTGGAGTCGGAGTTCGACAACTTCGAGGACTGGCTGCACACCTTCAACCTCTTCCGCGGGAAGACCGGCGACGATGACGACACGGCTGCCGACGAGGAGCGCATCGTGGGCAGGTTTAAGGTGAGCCGCAAGGTGGCAGCGGCGGCTGCAGGGGAACCAAACCCACATGGGGCCGCTGCCGGGCCTTTCCCGGATGTGCTGCCTGCCCCCCCACAGGCCGTGTTGGGGCTTGTTAGGAGCCAGTTGAGGAAACACGGAAATGGCGCCTCTTATTTCAACCTTAAGCACCCTTACTTCACGAAGCTATTGCTCTTGGTGCACCAGAGAGAGGAAGGAGAACTCATGGGAACATAGAGACAGAGTCAGAAGGGGTCCCCCGGCCATCTAGTCTGACCCCCAGCTCCAGCCAGCTCCGCTCATGTAATACCCGACCCCATCAGACCTTCCTCCTTCCTTCTGCTGGAGCACTGCTGGATAGGTCTCAGTTGGACAGGCTTTTTCCAAAGAGAATGCGATGGACTGGGTGGGATCAGAGGGGTTGAAGATTTTGCTCCCAGTTGTAGAAAAATGCAAGGGCCTTAACGGTGGGACCAGCTGCCTGGAGAGGTGGGGGGCTCTCCCACCCTGGAGACATTCAGGGCGAAACCGGGCAGCCCTCTGAGCAGGATGGTGTGCCTTGGTGTCCTGCACCAGCAGGGGGTGGACTAGATGGCCTTCTGGCCCCTTCCAGCTCTACCATTCTATGATTCTGTGACTCTTCTCCGGCTCAGATTTTGCCCTGACCTGTAGAAAAATGCAAGAGCCTCGCCATGCTCAGACGCCTTTGGTCTCGGCTGGTACATCTTCTGCACGCAGAGGTCGCACCCCCCTCCCCTGTGGGGGGGCACAGGCTCAAAGGCCTTCTCGCCCCTAGGGCTCCCTGTGTGTCTACAAAGTGCCGCTCCCCGATGACATCACCAAGGAGGCCGGGTACGACCCCAATTTCGGCATGTTCCAGGGCATCCCCAGCAACGACCCCATCAACGTGCTGGTCCGCATCTACATCGTGCGGGTGAGGAGCACGGGCTGCTTCCCCTCGCCCTCGCCCCTCGCAGGCGCCCTGGCCTCGAGGAGGGGAGCCCTGGTCGTGGCCGGCTTGCAGCGGCTGGGGAGCCTTCTCATGTGGCTCCCCCCGTGCAGAGGAAGGGGGCTTTGGCTGCCTCCTCTCCCGAGCAGTTGGGAAGTTCCCGCTGGGGGTGCTTTGGAGTTGGAGGGGGAGGAGAGGAGAGCTGGTGCAGGCGCGCTGGGTGCCTTGGATGCCGCTGCCAGCCTTGCCGAGAGCTTCGCCCGCCTGGGCTGCAGAGCCCTGATGTGATCACCATAACGAAGCCGCGAGAACCCGGGGAGCTTGTGCCGCGCAAGTGAGGACAGCGAGAGGGGCGCCCAGGCGCTTCTCACCCGGCTGCCCCCCAGGGCTGCGCATGCGGTCGGACCCCCTCCGGTTGCCGGGCCGTGGGCAGTGGGTGGATGGGGCACCGCGGCAAGCCCAGGAGGCCCTGGCGCAGCATCGGACCTGCCACGGCTCTGTGAGGCCAGGGCTCTGCCCCCTCGCCCGCTTCCTTCGGGACGCTTCCTTGCCCCAGCGTGTCGCTGCGAGGGAAGCCTCCCGCGCTCCGTCTGGACGGCTCCGGCATCCGGGTCAGACTCTCCGCCCACCTTTGGCCGCCTGATCCCTCACGCCCAGGATGCTTCTCCCTCCCTCCCTCGGCCGGCAGCATCGCTCCAGGGCCTCCCCGGGGATGTCCTCCGTGCCGGGGACCGTGCGCCCCTGGTTGATGCCCTCGCTGGGCACAGGGGGGCCTGCTCGATGGCATGGCCGCGTGGCCCGTTTCTTGTCCCGGTGGGCGACTGCTCCCCAGGATCCGGAGCAGTTTTCCCCAGACCAGCCGAAATGCTTTGACCTGCGGAGGCCCCCATCTTCCACCTGGGGGAGCCGTGCTCCATTCCTGGAGCCTTGAGATGGAGGGAGCAGGCAGCTTGGAAGTGAAAGTTTAAATAAAGAATGGCTAAAGCGGGGCTTTCCCCGGGGGCGTCTCATCTCGGGGAGACTGGGCTGACACTGGGCTTCCCTTCCAGGCCACTGATCTGCATCCGGCAGACATCAACGGCAAGGCCGACCCATATATCGCCATCCGGCTGGGCAAGACGGAGATCAAGGACAAGGAGAACTACATCTCCAAGCAGCTGAACCCCGTCTTTGGAAAGTAAGGGGACCCGGGAGCAGCCCGGTGCCGTTCGGCTCCCGCCCCGTGCCTGGTGGGCGCCTTCGTGCCAGCCCTGCTGGAGGCCCGTCCGAGAGGGGCCGGCTGGACCCATTCTTAGGGGAGCGCGCACGGCCAGCCGGGGTGGGTTGCGTGCTGTTGCCGGGGCCGGCGTTGCCGCTGGCAGCGCATCGTGGCCAGTGCCATCCCTGCGTCGCAGGGGCGTGTGAGGACGGATGTGGGCAATCCAACCCGATGCGTTTGCTCGGGCCTGACCCAGCTGGGGTGGCCTGGTGGGTCTCCCGGCCCCGCGCCTGCTTGGATGGGCTCCACGAATGCGCTTCCCGTCACGGGCCAATGACGCGCCACCGGTGTGCATCCCCCCGCTGGACGCCCCCTCCGTTGCCGACAGCAGAGCGGGGCCCCTGCAGCTCGCCCGGGGCCCCTGCCGGTCCCAAACGCCTGCCCCCCTTGCCAGGTCCTTCGACATCGAGGCCACGTTCCCCATGGAATCCATGCTGACGGTGGCCGTGTATGACTGGGACCTGGTGGGCTCCGACGACCTGATTGGCGAGACCAAGATCGACCTGGAGAACCGGTACTACAGCAAGCACCGGGCGACCTGCGGCATCGCCCAGACCTACGCCATGTAAGCCTCCGCGGCCCCCCCCCGGCCGGCCCCGCTGAATGTTCCCCGTGGGGCATTCACTCGGAGCGGGAGCGTGTTGGGTCTCTCTGGGCACGGGGGGCTTGGATGGCGAGCACAGTCCTCCCCAGGAGAGCGGCCGAGGACAGCATCCAGGGAGAAGGAAGTGTGCTTCCTTCTGTGCTGGATCGTGGCCAGTGAGGACCGTTCCGCAGCCGCTTCCGCCTCGTGAGCCTTAGCAGGCCTTTCGGCCTCTTCCAGGCGGTTTCTCCCTTTGGTAGCCACTGTTGCTCTGTCGTGCGGAAGGCTAGCAATGCAGTGGCCCCGTGTCAGCGTCCCCTGGGCAAGCAGCGCCACGTCACAAGAGGCCCGGAGGAAGGGCGGGCAGAAGAGGAGCAGTGGGCTCTCCTGGGGGAACAAGGAGTTGTCGTGCTTTGGCAGTGCTTTTCCCGACTCCCAGTTGCATAACGACACCCATAGCAGAGCAGCTTTTCCCTGCTCAGTTAAATCCCTTGGAAGCCGTAAAGAGTGTGAGATCTATTGATGGATCTGTCCAATGTCTGGGTGAAACCACAACTCTGGATCGAAGCTAGTAGAAACATAGAAACAGAGCAAGTCAGAAGGGTTCTCCGGGGCCATCTAGTCTGACCCCCAGCTCCAGCCGGCTCCGCTCACGACATGCCCACCATGTGCACGTCCAGCCTGTCCTTGAACACCCTCACCGATGGGGCCTCAGCCACCTCCCGAGGAAGCCCATTCCACACCCTCAGGGTTCTGACTGTCAGGAATTACTTCCTGGGATGTAAATTGAACCTTGGCTCCCTGAGCTTTGCTCCGTTGGGGCGCATCCTGCCTTCCTCTGCAGGGGAGAACAGGTCTCCACCCACCTCCGTGTGACATCCCCTCACATACCTGGATGTCGCCAACAGATCCCCTCTGAGTCTCCTCTTCTCCAGGCTGAAGAGACCCAGTTCCCTCAGTCTCGCCTCGTACGGCATCCCCTGCAAACCGGCCACCAACCTTGTGGCCCTGCGCTGCACTGACTCCAACCTGGCTATATCCTTCCTGTAATGAGGGGCCCAGAACTGAGCACAATACTCCAGTTGCGGGCGCACCAGAGTCGTGTAGAGCGGTAATAATACCTTTCTCGATCTAGAAGCCACACTTCTGGCTATGCAACCAAGGGTGGCGTTCGCCCTCTTGGCCACCGCATCACACGGCTGACTCATGTTCAGCCTGCAGCCGACCAGCACCCGACGTCCCTTTCACAAGTGCTGCTCTCCAGCCATATATCCCCTAACCTGTCCTTATGACACCCATTCCTGTGCCCCAAGTGCAAGACCTTGCACTTATCCACATTGAACGCCATCCTGTTGTCTCCTGCCCACTTCCGCAGTCTGCCCAGATACTTCTGGATCCGGAGTACCTGCCCCTCAGCTGTGGCCACTGCCCCGGTTTTAGTGTCGTCCGCGAGTCGCGCTGGCTGGGGTGTGCGTGTGCTCGAGCCTCTTTCCTCCCCGCAGCCACGGTTACAACATCTGGCGAGACCCCCAGAAGCCCTCTCAGATCCTCAGCAAGCTGTGCAAGGAGGGCAAGCTGGACGGCCCCCAGTACGGCCCTGGCGGCAGGGTGAAGGTCACCAACCGGGTCTTCACTGGCCCCACGGAAGTGGAGGATGAGAACGGTAAGGGGGGACGGGCGTCCGCAGGCCTGCGTGGCTTCGGGGTCGGTGCGCTTGGGAACCCGCGGGCGACCACGCTGCGAAGCACCGGGCACGGGACTCGGCACCCTTGCCCGCACGGGAGCCCCTCGCCCTGTGGCGGTCAAGCGGGGTTAACAACCTGTCTGCAGAAAGAGAGCTCTGGGAAGCGGAAGGCAGCATTTTGAGCGGCGAGTCCTTCCTTGTCGGAGGCCGGCTTCCGTGTCTCGCTGTACCGCCCAACTTCCTGTGAGCTTTGCTGTTCCCAGAGCGAACGAATCCGTGGAAATGAGCAAACGTGCAGCTGTTCCCCCGAACTGAACGCCGAACCTGGCTTCCCTGAGCCTTTCTTGAAACGTGCGGTTCAGCTGCAGCGCTCCTTGCGGAAACCGCAGCCGTGGGAGGGTGGGGCGGGGGCCCCGCAGAGGAGGGTCCCCGTCCCCACTCAGCCACGAGGCCCGCGGGGTGCCGCTGGGCCAGCCAGGGACTCGCCACCTGCCCGGCCTCTCGGGGTGGTTGTGCGGTAGATCGGTGAGCGGGGGGGCGGGGGGGAGACAGGCGGGGCGGGAAGGCGGGGCAGTCGGAGCACTGGGTGCCCCAGAGCTGCAAGTGGGGGTGGGGGGTGGGGGTCACGTTCGGGAAGCCGCTTCGGTGGCCCCGCTTGGTGCCCGTGGGCCGCCGCGCTCTCGCTCGCGGAATCCCGCGGAATCCTGACCTGGCCGCCGTCTCCTTCCCCGCAGGCCAGAAGAGGCAGACGGACGAGCACCTGGCCCTGGCGGTGCTGCACCACTGGGAGGAGGTCCCCCGCGCAGGCTGCCGGCTCGTGCCGGAGCACATGGAGACGCGGCCCTTGCTCAACCCGGACAAGCCCGGCATCGAGCAGGTGCCCGGCGCGCCCTGCCCCGCTCGCGTGCGGCTCTGGGGGGCGGCCGCGTCAGCCCTCCCCCCGCCTCCTCCGTGGCCCCGGCAGACGCCTTCCGCCGTGCTCCAGGGCCGGCGCCATCCCAAGGGGGCCCGCCCGGCTCTGGTGGGCCCGTCTCCCCCGCCTTCTCGGCCCGCACCAGGCTCCCCACACCACCGTTTTTCCCAAGTCCTGCGTGGATTTTGCCTGGAAGCGCCGCAATGGACGTGGGCTGAGATGGCTCCGAAAGGAGATCATCCCGGGGGCAGAGCGGTTGTTGGTGGACGGCGACAGCGATAGCCGAGTCTTCTGGGGTTGCACTGATGCGCTGAAGTGAGAGAGTCTCGCACACTGGAGACGTTCCAAAAGAAACCGGGCAGCCCTCCGAGTGGGATGGTGCAAATTGGTGTCCTGCAACAGCAGGGGGTGGACTGGATGGCCTTCCTGGCCCCTTTCAGCTCTGCTCTTCCATGATTCTCTGAGAGCAGCGGGAGGCAGGGCCATGGTGGGTGGGGGGCTTCCCTTCCTCTCCCCCACATGCCCGGCTTTCCTCAGATACGCTGTGCACACACGTCCCCTGGGAGCTCACGGGACTCAGGCGGCTCCAGGCCCACCCCTGCGCCCCTTCTCTGCAGCTCCACTGCCGCTGGCTGGGCTGGGACGGCCCCGGCCCGCACCTGCTGCCGAGCAAGAGGGAGTGCCTGGCTTCAACCTGGAGGAGGGAGGACTGTACCTGTGGGCTTCCTGAGTATGGCCAGGGGCTCATATCTGGAATGGGGGAGAGGCTAGATAGAAACATAGAAACAGAGCGAGCCAGAAGGGGCCTCCCGGGCCATCTAGTCTGACCCCCAGCTCCAGCCAGCTTTGCTCACAACATGCCCACCATGCGCATGTCCAGCCTATCCTTGAACACCCGCACCGATGGGGCCTCAGCCACCTCCCGTGTAAGCCCATTCCCACCCTCGGGGTCCTGCCTGTCAGGAAGTGCTTCCTGGCATCCAATTTGAACCTTGGTTCCCTGAGCTTTGCTCCGTTGGGGCGCATCCTGCCTTCCTCTGCAGGGGAGAACAGGTCTCTGCCCACCTCCATGTGACACCCCCTCACATACCTGTATGTCGCCAACAGACCCCCTCGGAGTCTCCTCCAGGCGGAAGAGACCCAGTTCCCTCCGTCTCGCCTCATACGGCTTCCCCTGGAAACCGGCCACCAACCTTGTGGCCCTGTGCTGCACTGACTCCAACCTGGCTATATCCTTTCTGTAATGAGGGGCCCAGAACTGAGCACAAGGCTCCAGTTGTGGGCGCACCAGAGTCGTGTAGAGTGGCAGTGATACCTCTCTCGATCCAGAAGCCACATTTCTGGCTATGCAACCCAGGGTGGCGTTTGCCCTCTTGACCACCGCATCGCACTGCTGGCTCACATTCAGCCTGCAGTCAACCAGCACGCCGAGGTCCCTTTCGCAAGTGCTGCTCGCCAGCCACTTGTCCCCTAACCTGCACTTGTGACACCCATTCCTAGGCCCTATATGCAAGACCTGCCCTTATCCACATGGATGAGGTGGAGCTTTGGCCTGATCCAGCGGGCGCAATTCATGCCAAAGGGACGGGAGTCTCTGGTCGGAGCAGGAGGGATCCTGCAGGAGGCGCTGGGGGAGCCAAGTGGCAAGAGGTGGGGTCTGGCAGGGGCCCCAAACGGGGCTGGGACCCGAGACCCACTGACGAGGTCCTTCTGGCGTTTCAGGGACGGCTGGAGATGTGGGTGGACATGTTTCCCATGGACATGCCGGCTCCGGGGCCGGCCATTGACATCTCTCCGCGGAAGCCGAAGAAGTAATGCTTTGTTTCGGGCTGGGTTGGGGTCCACGTGGGGCCCCCCAAGGGTAGGAGCACTGCATGCTGGGATCCGTGAGGACCTTCGGGAGCAGAAGGGACGGGGAGAAGGAGGGCTGGGCTGTGAGGGTCCGGCTGACGGCAGAGAGAGCCAGAGAGAACTCACGGGGGACGTTAAGTGCGACTGAAGGAGGAGGAGGTCCTGGGCAAGAGGAAGCCTTCATGGAAAAACGGGAGCGGGGTCGTGCTGGCATGTATGCAGGACTGGAAAAACTTTTCTTGGGTCTCCGTCCGGGAGAGACAGCAGGGGTTTGGCAGCCGAGGAAGTGGCTGAGCCGACCCTCACCTTCTTCTTGCTCGAGTCCCCCACTAGCGTGGCGAGGACCGCCGTGGGCCTGAGAATGTCCCCCTGCAATTCCCCATGTCCAGACTTTTGCAGAGCTGCTGCTTGCCATGAGCTGAGATGGGGGGAAATTGATGGGGGGGGGGGGAGCCAGTTCCCTTGGCAGGAAGCAGGCCCTCTCTGTGCACATGCACAAAACCATGGTCTGCAAGCCCACCATTCCGAAACGAAATGGGCTTCGCGCAAAGATGCCCGAGTGGCTGAGAGCGCCAGAATGCGTCCATTCCAAACGGGGAAGGTGATGGGTGAAGCCCCGCAGCACGGTCCAGCTGGTTGCGTCAAAACCCACAGGACGCCTGGCCTGCTTTTGCGGTAGCGACCCAAAGCAGAGAGGGCCAGGGTGTGGGGACGCGCCCCTCCTGGGGAGGGGGCTGCTGGGGACACGACGGATTGCCCTTCTGCTCTGGCCTCCTCATTCCAAGCCCTCAGGTGGCGTCAACGTGTCGTTTTGCCACAAAACGGCGAGCGAGTCGTGCCTTCTCCTGTCCGTGGCCACCTGGCGCGACCGTGAGCCAGAGGGACAGGTGCTGTTCTGAGGCCACCCGGCCTGGTGGGTCTGCGAGGGAAAGGGAAGGCTTCCCAAGCCCAGCCACGCGTTCCCAGGACAGCCGCCCCACACCGGGTGGCCTCCTGCGCCGGAGCAGTTCTCTGGGCACCAGCAGCAGATGCGGCCACCCTCTCGCCGCCTCCACTCACCGCGTGTCTCCCTCTCTTCCTTCCTCCCTGCCAGATACGAGCTTAGAGTGATAGTTTGGAACACCGATGAGGTGGTCCTGGAGGACGACGATTACTTCACTGGCGAGAAATCCAGTGACATTTTCGTCCGGGGGTACGTACGCCGAGCCCCGCGAGGCCGGCAGGCTTCTCGGTGTGTGAGCTTCTCGTGGCCGTGGCGCTGCCGGCTCTGGCTCCGCGCAGAGGGCGGGCGGCTGTCGCACAGGCAGAGCGTCTCGTCCCCGTGGACACAGCAACGGGCGCCTTCCCTCTGCTCTGCCTCTCCTCCCGTCCTGTGCTCTCCCTGTTGTCGTGTGCCCCCGTCCGCGCACGCCGTGTGGTGGCCAGGTGTGAGCTGCGCGTCATCGTCTGGGACACCGATGCGGTGCTCCTGGAGGACGATGCTTTCATGGCGGGAGAGAAGGTGTCGGACATCTATGTCGGGGGGTAATCGACTGGGGCACCGTGCACGGCCCCTCCCGGGGCAGGTGTGCTCAGGAGGGGAACGTTTGGGGCAGCCCACCCACCGCTGGAGGCCCCACTTCGAGCGGGCCCGGCGCAAATCCATAGCTCATGGCTCAGGAGAGACCTGCGGCACCCTGCAGAGGCCCTGGCGACGGGCCACTCGAACAGAAAGGCTGGGCCGTCTCCAAAATGCAGGGCCGGGTTGGCTGGCAGGCCCACGCAGAAGCGGAGCGAGTCAGGAGGGGCCTCCCGGGCCATCTAGTCTGACCGCCGGCTCCAGCCGGCCCTGCTCACCACATGCCCGCCATGTGGACTAGTCAAGCCACATGGGAGCTGGAGGACCCCTTTCACCTGTGCCCGTTTCACTAAAACGTTGTAGAGATGTTTGGAAGTTCGGCGTGCCGCTGCCAGACTTCTGGAGCTTGCTGGTGCTGCTGAGGAGAAAGGGGCTTCGCTGTGCAAAGCAGCTCCCGGCAGCGCGGCTGGGCACGGGCAGGTCTCAGGGGGCTTCTGCGCCCCCGCCTGCACGCCCCTGAGCGCACGAACCGCTGCGAGCAAGGGGAGCTTGTCCTTACGGCGCCCCAGCCAGCGAAGTGCGTGGGGGGCAGGCCCCTTGTGCGCCGCTTGCGCATGCAGCCCTCCTCTGGCGCACGGAGGGACTTGGACAAGCGTGAGCAGTGCAGGCGGGCGTTCTCCTTTGTCCCTGCCCGGGGTTGCCCGTGGAAAGGGAGGCGCAAGTTACTGCGAGCGGAGCACCAGAGCAGAAGCACGAGGGGGTCCCTCGAGGGAGGGGGTCCCTTTAGGCCAGATCTGAGCTGCAAAGGGGGAGCCAGGAGAAGCCAAAGGCCAAACCAAACAGGCCCATGAGTTGGGAGGTAGCTGCGGGGGAAAGACCTGCCTGCATCCCGGAGAGCTGCTGCCAGCCAGAGCAAGCAATATTGGGCTAGATGGACCGATGAGGCTGCTTCAGGTGTTCCTGAGGAGGAGGCAGAGACACCAAGAGTGCCAAGCAGGGGAGGCTGGAACCCGGCAATGGCCCAGGCGAAAACGCAAGTGGGCCGGTGGAGACACTGCAGAGCATCCAGGTGGAGACGCAGCGATAACCAGGCGAGGTCAGGAGGGGCCGCTGGGCCAGGGCCATGCTGGGGTCTGGCGGGCCAGCACTGATCTCACGCGGGCCACTCGTGGCTAGCGCACCAAGTTCAGGCTGGCCCTTGGGCCGCAAGCCACAGCGGGGACCTGCAGGCAGCGGGCTCAGTCCTGCCCGGAGGAGCTCCCTGTGAGGGGAGAGCGCCCATCCTGGGAGCCCGAGTTTTCTGCTCCAGTGCTGCATCTCAGAGGTTCTCGCAGAAACCTGCGGGAAGCGCAGCGATGCAGGAAGTGCTGCTGAGCAGACCCGTGCGTGGTGGGGCTTTCTGTCCAGGCAGGTTCCTTCTGCGCATGGCCCAGGCAGCCTCGGCCGCAGGGTGGCGTAAGATGAAGGAAACGCACAAGAGAGGGAGCAGCCTGGGCGGGCAGGACATGCGCAGGGTGGGCAGGTCCCCACAGGGCCCACGTGGACACGGCCCTGAGTTAGAGACCCCCCTCCGGATCTGTCCAGCCTGAGCTATGCATTTGCCCGGGAGGGGCCAGGTGGGCACCCCCAGGGGGCGGAGGGCGCATGGATATCTGACGGGTAAGAAGGGAGCCAGTTGTCTTCTCCCTGCCGTGAATGAGGAGTGCTGCCCCGGCTGCCGGTTTTATTTATTTATTTAGAAAATGTCTATGCTTCTCCATTCGCCGAAGCCTCGGGGCGGCTCACAAAACGGCTCCCACCACAGCTGCCTCCCTCCTGGACGCCCGGTTCTCTGCCGAGCCACAGGGCCTGGCCAGGGCATGGCGTGCGTCTCTCTGTGTGTGTTTGCAGTGGGGCGGCTTGCTTCTCTGTTGCATGGTCGGGGGGGGGGGGGAGGCAGCTACCCTCGTGGCAGCGAGGCAGGTGTGGCCTTGCCAAGCACTCAGCTGGACGGAGCACTGGCTCCCTTTGCGCTCCAAAAGCCAAGCCGTGACACGTGGCCCTCGGGACCTCCACGGAGAGGTCTGCTCCCCCAATTGCAAAATAATGTCTCGATTCTGACGGCAGAACAGAGCAACTTTTCAGGGAAACTTCCCAATCCAAAGTTCGTACTAAAGCCAAAATGTGGGAACGAACACTGAAACCTGGCATTTTTCAGGTTTGAGAGTTTTGAGACTCAGTATTTTGTACTGGGGGTTCCTCAGAACCAAATTTTTCACCTAGCAGGTGGCTATAAATCAAAAAGGAAATTGATTCCCAAATCCTGCTAGATGGATCCCAGTTCTGGACACATGCCATTTCAGGCAGCCGAAAAGAAACACTTCCCCAAAATGTATTAGCTAAGCTTTCCATCCCTGCCTCTTCTGACAGCAGGACAACTCCAAATCCTTTAGACTCAAGTGGAACTACCCGGGGTCTTAATTGCTCCGTCCTTTAACGATGCAGCCACGCTGCGAAATTGCTTTCGATTTTATCCTCGGGCAAAAAGGCAGGGCAGGGCAGGCCCGGCTCGCTCTCCCCTGGGCCGCTGCACCTCCTGCCCTCTCCGTGTGGCCGAGGACAGGTGTCACAGGTGCACGGAGCACCGCCCCCCCGTGCCCCTTGGTGGAGCGGAGCGCCTGCCCGCGGGCCCTGCCAGCCCCCGGGGCCCCTCCGGTTTGCCGAGCCTCAGCACTGCTCTGGCCGGCCCCGCATGGGCACGGACACCCTGCACCGGCGCATGGCCAGCCGTGGCGCTCGCACCCCGCCGACGGCCTCGCCTGTACTCGCCTGCGCAGGTGGCTGAAGGGTCAGCAGGAGGACAAGCAGGACACGGACGTCCACTACCACTCCCTGACGGGCGAGGGCAACTTCAACTGGCGCTTCGTCTTTCCTTTCGACTACCTGGCCGCCGAAGAGAAGATCGTCATCTCCAAGAAAGAGTCCATGTTCTCCTGGGACGAGACCGAGTACAAGATTCCGGCCCGACTCACGCTACAGGTGTGGGATGCCGACCACTTTTCCGCTGATGACTTCCTCGGTGCGTAACAAGGTGGCTGCCCCCGGTTCACAGAGAGCGCCAGAAGGGCTCCCGGCCAGCCGTCACGAGCCAAGATGGCTTAAGTCCGCAGGGAAGCTAAGGATTTGCAGGGCAATGACCCACGGTTTGGTTTCCCAGACTGCATAGGTTCACCTGTTCAAAGATAGGCTGGACGTGCACATGGTGGGCATGTCATGAGCAGAGCCGGCTGGAGCCAGGGCTCAGACTAGATGGCCTGGGAGGCCCCTTCTGACTCGCTCTGTTTCTATGTTTCTACCTGCTGGTGAAGTCTCTTGACTGGGAGTTCAGACATTAGCTTTGGGGGTTCAGGGAGTTTCCTGAAAGGACTGGTGAGAACTGCCAGGCCCACGGCCCTTTCAGCTTCAATTAAAGTATGAGAGAACTCCCTGCAAAGGGGGCACATCAGGAGCACCCCGTGGGTCCTGCCCGGAAAGAGCAGCTCAGGCCCTCCCAGCCTTCGTCGGCCAGGACCCGCCCTATCGCGGCCTTTCCTCCTCCCTCCACAGGAGGTATTGAGCTCGACTTGAACCGGTTCCCCCGTGGGGCTAAGACCGCCAAGCAGTGCAGCATGGAACTGGGGACCGGGGAGATCGAGGTGCCCATGGTCTCCATCTTCAAGCAGAAGAGGGTCAAGGGCTGGTGGCCCTTCTTGGCCCGAGATGAGAATGACGAAATGGAGATGACGGTAAGGGACCCGGAGGGGGGCTTCCTCTTGGCTCAGGAGGGCAGGAGGCCAGGAAGAGCTGGGGGCCAGAAAGCCGCCGGGGTGCTGCCCAGGGGCTGGTGCAGGGTGGGGGAGTGCGGACAGGCCCAGGAAAAACCGCAGCGGAGGAGGCGGGTTGCAGAAGGGTCATCAGGAGCAAGATGCAGGAAGATGGGTGGATGGTTGGAGGCTGCCTGGGGTTTGTGGCGTCCCTGGCGGCTGGCCGCTGGGTCCGTCCGATGTACCGGCGCTGGGCCAGGCTGTGCCCACACCCGTGCCGCTTTCCTCACGGGTGCCTCTCTCTGCGTTTCCAGTAAATTTTCTCTCGCTCCCCGCAGGGTAAAGTGGAAGCTGAGCTTCACCTCCTGACTGCAGAGGAAGCTGAGAAAAGCCCGGCCGGGCTGGCTCGTAACGAGCCCGACCCACTGGAGAAACCCAAGTGAGTAGTGGGGAAGGGCGGGGGGGGGGGGGGGGGGGGGCGCCGTCCGCGCAGGCGTGGGGAGGGCCCGGCAGGGCTGCAGAGGAGTCGGGCTCGGCGAGGGCGGTCCGGTCCCGCGGCTGCGACGCGCGCTGTTGAGCGGGGCTCCCCGCCGCCCCCCGCCTGCCCCGCCTCCGCTCAGCTCTCCGTCTCTCTCCCGGTTCCTCGGTCTCCTCCTGCTCCTTGCCCCCCCCCCGTGCCCCAGCCGCCCAGATACCAGCTTCATCTGGTTCCTGAACCCTCTCAAGTCCATTCGCTACTTTCTCTGGCACTCGTACCGCTGGCTCCTGCTGAAAGTCCTCCTCCTGCTCCTCTTGCTCCTTATGGTCGGCCTCTTCTTTTACTCCGTGCCTGGCTACCTGGTCAAGAAGCTTCTCGGGGCCTGAGAGGCCTGGCCTTTGCCCAGGGTACTTCTTTGTTCCACCTACTCCCGCCCCTATCATCCACCGGCATGACAGAGGCCCCACCTGGGGCTGGTGGGGGGACAAAGAGCAGGAGCAGAGCCCCAGGGCATTGCACTCGATCCGGGACTCCTGCAGCCGCGCAGACGGGCGGGAGTAGCACCGTCCCTTGAGCGGGAGCCCTGAGCCTGGGTTCCAGGGGTGTGAGGGGCGGCTGGGCTACTCCGCAGCAGGAGAGCGGCGCTGCTGATGGGCTTCGAGCCACTCTCCCCTTCCGGCCAGGCCACCTGGAGCCCGAATGGCACCCTGGGGCTAGAGCCGGTTGTGGAACCGAGCTCCGGTTCAAAGGCAAGCAAGATCTTGGCGAGGGGAAAGGCCGGCCGGGGATGGCTGGTCCACAGGAAATCCACCGCGGCCTGCAAAAAGGACAGGGCCCGAGGCCTGTTGCCCTCCCAGACGCCTGCGCCCCATGACCCCAAGGACTCCGCTCCAGCGTCCTCAGAAAGATGGCCGGGGTCCCGGTCGGCAGGTCTCGGTCCCACAAATGCGTCTGAGGCAGCGCTGCAGAACCTGCAAGCTCCGGCCCAGCGTGCCAGCCACGCGGAGCGACCCGGGGCCTTCGCAGCCTCCTGCTCTTGTGGCTGCCAGACCCGGGAAGACACACTTCGCCCCGGGCAGGTCAGGAGGCCAGGCTGCCTTTGGCTGGGCCTGTCCAGACTGCTCTCGTCAAGACCAGCTTCCGCCATTGCCACCTCACTAGGCCAGCACCCCCGAGCCGTGCGCTGCGGCCGTTGCACGGCCGGTCCCGGGTCGTGCAGCGGTAGGGCTGGAGACACGGAGTACAGGAACCAGCGGCAGCCCCAAGGTACCCCTGCCCCTCTGAGCTCGGTTTTTGTCCCTCCCTCCCTCCCTCCAGCCGCCCGGATACGTCTTTCATCTGGTTCCTGAACCCGCTCAAGTCCATCCGGTACCTCATCTGCACCCGCTACAAGTGGCTCATCATCAAGATCGTGCTGGCCGTCCTGCTCATCATCATGGTGGCCCTCTTCCTGTACTCCATGCCCGGCTACATGGTCAAGAAGCTCCTGGGGGCATGAGGACGCGGCGCGCCCCATAGCCTCTCCCGGGCCGGATCTTCCCGGCCAGTCTCTCCTTGGCTTCCCCTCGGTGGCTTCCCTGTGTTTCCATTTGCAGTTTGTTGAGGAAAGGAAGAGACGGCCCCGAATTTGCTTTGCTTTTGCCTTGTGTCTCTGGCAGGACACAACAGTAGTTTTTGGCGTCCTAGGTATCAGTCCTGCCCTTGGCTGCTCCTCACGCCCTGCAGTCCAGGCCCGGAAGCCGGGCAGTTCTTAGTTCGGTAGTTCTAGGAGTCTGCTGATCTCTCAGATGAAGTTCCCTACACAAGTGAGTTGTTCGGGCAGAGCTTCCTTCGCCCCCGGTTTCTTCTCTGTGTGGATTTGACACGTCCTGTGGCTTGTATGCTGTTCTGCTTCTGTAACTCAGGCTGGGTCCCTGGCCAAGGTGCCGGGAACCCAAAGGCCTCTTGCGCTTTCCAAGTGTGAGGTGATCAAGCGGTTGAGAGATCTGGCACCTCTGTTCAGTGCCTGGCACTCCGCTTTCCTTACTGAAGAGAAGGACTCTCCTGGGGTCCACCCCTTTTGCCGCACTGGAGTGATCTCTGCAGAGTAATACAGGGCGGAACAATAGAAACATAGAAACAGAGCGAGTCAGAAGGGGTCTCCTGGGCCATCTAGTCTGACCCCCAGCTCCAGCCGGCTCCGCTCACGACATGCCCACCATGTGTACGTCCAGCCTGTCCTTGAACACCCACACCGATGGGGCCTCAGCCACCTCCCGGGGAAGCCCATTCCACACCCTCGGGGTCCCGACTGTCAGGAAGTGCTTCCTGGCATCCAGATGGAACCTTGGCTCCCTGAGCTTTGCTCCATTGGAGCGCATCCTGCCTTCCTCTGCAGGGGAGAACAGGTCTCTGCCCACCTCCGTGTGGCACCCGCTCACGTACCTATGTGTCACCAACAGATCCCCTGGGAGTCTCCTCTCCTCCGGGCCGAAGAGTCTTCCCTTATACAGCTTCCCCTGATGTTAAATGCTGAAGGCGAGCCAGTCGACCAGTGGTCGGGTGGGTTTAGTGCAGCCGCTAAAATTGGGAGCGCCCCAGCCACGAAGGAGCCCACACTGGATCTTAGGCAGGCCGCCGTCCTCTCTGCCTCGGCGCTTCCTCTGCGTGTGATGCAGACTGAACCAGGCGCGGGCACCTCGGAGATGCTAAACAACCGTTGACCATGATCATTGCTCGTTAATTGCTGGCAGCTCTGGCTCCAGCCTGGCTTCTCCAACGTTTTCCCGGACGTCCCAGAAACCCAGCAGAGATGGTGCTCTGGCACACACGGAGACCGAGGAGGGGATCCGGTTTTCCCGGTCACCCAGCATGGTGGTGGGGCCACTCGGGATCTCTGGCCGGGGTTTCTAGCCACGTGCAGAGGGAAAGCCTGCAGAATGAGCGCCATGGGAAGGGCTCCCGAGGGCAGCGCAGGGGTCCTGCGGCGCTTCAGGTGCCACCTCTGTCGCTGCAGCAGCCGGAGGCGAGGGCAGTGGGGGAGGCAGGCACCCTCCCCAGACGGCACCCTCCCCTTGCAGTCCCTGGCAGCCCAGCCGCCCCTTGCTCATGCGGCGACGGCGTTCCTTGCTCAGCACGGGGCTGCCCGGGAGTCGGCCCCTAGGCAGGGCCAGCAAGCCCCCCTGGCCGAGCTGTGGCCGCATCCCGGTGTCCGGGGCACGCAGCGCCTGGCCGGGCTTGGACGCAGGCGGCGCCAGGAGCGCCTGGGGACTGGTTCGCGGCCCTTCCAGCAGCCCCATCGCCCGGCCAGGCTGGCAGTGCCCCTCCCTGGCGTGTGAGGGCCTTGCCAGCCCCCGCCTGGGCCGTGGCGGATTCCCTCCCGCAGCAGGTGCGGCAGCGCAGGAAGCATGGGAAAGATGCGCCCATGCATCCCTGTGGCTCGGAGGAGCCTCCACTGCACCTGGGCGCGCCCTCCCGGCAGGAGTGCGTGCACCAGCCACGCCACGCCAGGCCACGCCTGCCCCCAGCGCACGCGCCCTCCTCTCCTGGCACGGGGGGCGGGTGTCCGGGGGAGCTGGATTCGAGAGGCCCAAACACGTCCTTGCAGGTCCCCTCAAGGGTTCGAGCCCCGGTGCCCTGCGTGATCGACTGCCGACTGCGGCACGGCAGCGTGGATCTGTGGATCTGCGTGGGGCGTGCGCGGCGGCCCTTCCCGCTCCCTTTCCCAGCCTCCGTGCTCGGCAGGCGAGAACCTGCCGCAGCCTCGTGCGGGGGCCATTCCTGGGCCCGGGGGTCGCGGGCGGGCCGGGAGGCCTCGCGCTGTGACGGGCAGAGGCGGGAGAGCCCCCGGCCTGCGCTGGAGGGGTGCCGAGGGGCCGGCAGAACCAGCAGCGCGGTGCGAGTGCCCTGCCCCCCTCCCACCGTCCCCGGACACGGGACGCCCGTGTGTCTTGTGCTGGCTTTTCGCCCCGTATTTCCTACACTGTGTGTACACGAGTGTTCCTATTTCTCTACTGCTGTGGGGGGAGGGGGGTTCTGGTGTGGGTGGGGGTGTTCTCTGTGCACCGTCATACGGGATCTTTGGGATTTGCTGTACGGATCAGGACAAAACCTGTACTTTAATAAAAACAGATCACCAAAAGGAAGAGAGTTTAGATCTGCTTTGTGCGTGTGACAGCCAGACGGGTCGAGAGGCAAGAAAAGGGATCTGCGTGGAAGAAGGCAGGACACTGTATCCACGGACCTGTCGCTTCACAGAGGGAGACGCCACCTCAGCCGCTCCTTATCATGGCTCAGGTTTCAAATGTTCATGATCTCGAGAGGACTATAAACGCTCTTTTAAACCCAGCAAGCAGTTCAAAAACACCCAGAGCAGGTCCCCAGAGGCCCACCACTTTCTGTCTCCGCTCCTCTTCCCGGGCAGCAGCAAAGATCACTCGGGAGACAAGGCGAGTCACACAATCAGCCATTTATTTGCCACCGCCTCCTCAGTATCCCCCAAAATCTTCTTTTCGAAGGCACACCTCCGGGGTCGGAACGACACCTGCCTTACGGAGTACCAGCAAACAGGAAACTGTTTCCGCACTGAGCCCTTCGCCTTTCGGATCCGCTGGGCTGGGGTTCTTCAGCGGTGCCCGAGGCCCAACCTGGGCACGTGCCGGGCCCCTGGGGGAAGCCTGTGCGCAACGAAAGCCACGCGCCGGGCCCCGCTCGGCGAGCCTCGGAGCCACGGCGGAAGCGGCACGCGGCCCCCTCGCCCGCTGCCGTCCGTCCCTGGGCAGCCGGGTCGGGCGGGCTGGGATGGCTGGGACGGCTGCGCTCGCAGACGAGGAGGGGCAGGAGGGGGCAGGAGGGGCCGAGCCGCCGGAGCGGGGCCTCACGTGCCGTCCAGCTGCAGGCGCAGCAGGTGGGTGGGCGGGATCAGCAGCTCGGCGTTGACCTGTGAGGGAGGGAGCGACGGCCGCCGTCAGCCCCCCCCCCCCGAGCGAGAAGGCCCAGGCCCGAGGGGGGCTGTGCCGAGGGGCCTCCCAGGGCAGCCCGGCAGCGAGGGGGGAACCGCCGCCACAAATCTGCCCCCGGACTGCCAGCTGATCCCAGAGCGCTGGAGCAGGCTGCGGCTCGGCATGGCGGGGCAGCCGACTGCCCCGCTGTGCCGGGAGCGTGCGGAAGCCCCGTGGGTGGTGGGACAGGCCCGCCGCGGCTGGCCCGCTCGCTCCTGCCGGCCATTTCGGGCAGCCCACAGGCAGGGGCGCGGCCGGCGGCGGCGGCCTGGACCCATTACGAAGGGGCGCGTCCTGCCTCCGAGCGCATGGGCCCCCTTGGCCGGGGTGGCCAACAGCCACTGCCCAGGCTGCCCCTCCTGGCGCCACCGAGCAAAGGGTCGTCCTCACTGCGCGCGACTGTGCGCTCCGCTGCGTGCACAAGCGCGGCGTGTGCCCAGCTCCCCCCCCCCCCCCCCCCCCCCCCCCCCCCCCCCCCCGGCGGGGGGGGGGTGGGGGGGGGGGCGGCCCCCCCCCCCCCCCCCCCCCCGCCGCCTGAGCCAGGCTGACCCGCCTCCACCGGGCGTGTTGGGGGGGGGAGGACAGAGCCACCGGGGCAGGTCTACTTGGGGGAAGCGCAACTGCGCTTGGTGGCCTTCACTCCCCAGGCAGGGCTGCCGGACCGTGACTTCAGGCGGCTCGCCTCGGAGGGGAGGGACTCCCACCCAACCCACGGAGCCCTGCTTCGGCACAAGTGCACAAACGCAAGACGCGGGGGGGGGGGAATAAGGACGCAGAGCTGGACTGCTGCAGCCCCCTCCCCCGCCTCCCTCCCACGGCCGTTTCTCTGGCAGCGAGTGCCCGTCAACCATTCCGGCAGGAGTCATTGTCAAGGATTACTAGGGAGGGAACCCATCTGCCGATCAGAGATGGGCTTGCTGTCTCTTGGTGTATTTTAGATACTGATCTCATTTCAAACATGGTTTTAATTTGCTCACAAGCTGCCATGGGAGAACTTTCCTGCTCTGAAAAGTAAATGAACGCATGTTCCTGAGATTCGTTCTTGCACCGAGGAAGGCAGCCGGCAGGCAGGCAGGCAGGCAGGCAGAGAGGGGGAGATGGGCGCACCGAAAACACACCTGGGGCTGCGGCCGAGGCCCCCCGGTGCCCACAGGCTGGGCAGTCAGAGTGGAGGAGCTCCACCTTCTCGCTGAGCCTGTAAAGAGTTCCCTTTCTTCCCAGAGAAGTTGACTTGCCCCTTCCTTGACTTGTGCTCTTCTTCCGGAGGAAGAAACCAGCTCCTGCTCCAAGCGTCTGCCCCCAGCAGCCCTCCCTGGACAAAGAGCACACCCCGACCTGTCCAGTCCCGCCGCCCCCCCCCGGCCCACCACTCACCGGCGACTGGAGATACTGCTGCAGCAGCATCCGGAGCTCCACATTTTGCTGGTGCAAACCCTCTGTCTCCGTGATCAGCTTTGCCCTCTGCATCAGGATGTGGCTGGACGGGGGGGGGGGGGGGGGGGGGGGGGGGGGCCTTCAGCAGCTGGGGGGGAGCACCCCCCAGCCCCCCCCCGGAATGGCTCCAAGCCTCGAGGGAGGCGCCAGCGAGCCTCCAGGCAACGGAGCGAGGAGGAGATGCGCCAGCGGGAGCCCAGGGCCTGCATTCAAGACCTGGCAACCACGGGGGGGGATGTTCTCCCCCTCCCCACCGGGGCCAGCCAAGGGCAGGGGGCTGGCTGGCTGGCTGGCTGGCATCCGCTCCGCCCTCGCCTGGCCCTCTCCTCTGCCCAGCAGCGCGCTGCCACAGGGACCCACCGGGGCCTGCACTCACTAGTATTTCTGCAGACCCACGATCAAGGCATCCCACAGCTTCAGCTTTCCATCCGGGATGACGTGGGCCAGCGCGTCCCAGTACTCCGAGTCCTTCGAGTCGTCCCGCTCCTCGTGCACTTTCTTCACGGGGGGGCGCCTCTCCCTGGCGGGGAAGGAAGGCAGTGGCCGGCTGGAAGGTGGCGCCTGCACCTGGCCACAGCCCCTCCCTCTGAGCCCGAGCAGGGAAGGGGGTTCCCCCGAAGGCCCCCCCGGCGCCACCCCCACACTGGCAGCCACCGGCACGAGCGGAGGCGGATTCACACAAACAAGGCGACGCTCCCCCACAGCCACGCTCCAGCCCGGCTTGTCCGGCGCCCCAGGCAAACAGCGGCCGCAGAGCTGCGCGATCCAGGCAGGGGCCGTGGTGTGCGGCCTTTCTTGCCATTTCCCGCAACACGTGCCCAGCGTGGCCCCGGCCCGGAGGGGACTCCCAGCGGCTCTGCCAGTGGAAGCTGTACCCTGACAGGAACCGGGGCTGTGGGCCTCCCCGGGCCAGACCGGGACCACAGCGAAGCACAGGGTTACTGGCCCTCTCCCCTGCCCTCCGCCGGGACTGGCTCCCACCGCTGCTGCCTGCTTCTCCCCAAAAAGTGGCTTCCCACACGGTGCGGCTGGGTGCAAATGCTGCCTTTGCCCTCGCAGGAAAGCTCGCCCAGCCCCGACGGGACACCCCCCCCCCGCTGCCTCATCGACAGGCCCCGCTCTCGCGAAGCGCCCGCGTTCGTAGGCACCTGCCTCACAAGGCGCTCGCGGGGCCGGACGGCGTTGCCCTCCCGGCACAGCGGCACCGTGTTCCGCAGCCAGCCAGGCCCAGGGCTGCTGGTGCCGCAGCCCTGCCGAGATGCCGGCACCGGGCCGCCTGGCTGCCGAGAGACGGACCCCCACAGGATGAGCAGAGGGGGGCTGTCTGCACCCGCCCCGCCTCCCGGCGATTCGCAGGCGCCGTCTGCACCCTCTGTGCCAGAGCGGCCCGAGGCGCCAGCCGCCTCCTCTCCTCTAGTCCAGCCTCCACAGCAGCCGCTTCTCCGCCCCCCAGCGGGACCCACCTGGGCTCCCGCAGTTCCTGCACGAAAGCTTTCAGGGCCTTCAGGACGTCGTCCGGGTGCATGCGCAGCGCCGAGCAGGGCGCGGCCGCGTCAACGGGGCCTTCCTCCTCCCCGGGCGGGGCTGCCCGGGCCTCCTCTTCGTCCGCGGCCTCCACGCCTGGAGCTGCTTCTTTGCCAGTGGCGTCTCCCAGGGCCGCTTCCTTGCGCTAGCAGGCGAAGGGAAGGGGACGGTGGGGATGAGCTACCCCCGCCGCCGCAGGCGCACCCGAGGGGTGACGCAGAACGGGGACGTGGCCCGGTGGGGCAGGCCTTGTGCGAGAGAGAGGCTCAACGAGTGAAAGGGACTCCAAAGGCGGCCAGGGGGGGCCCAAAAGCGAACACGCCACAGATCCAGCAGCGAAGCGGACTTGCATCGTCACAAGCGGAGAGGCAAGAAGGCAGGAAGAACACCCCCAGCATGCCCTGGCGGGGCGCATCTCCGGGGCAGGGCAGGGCAGCCCTTTCGTGATGAGGGGCTGTGACACAGGGAAAGTGAGCCGCGCCAGAGCCGGTGGGGGCCAGAGCAGCAGCGGGGCCCCTGCAAACGGGGCTGGGGGCTGCTGGGGGCTGCACAGGCGAGGGCCGCGCCCCCTGCTCAAGCCCCGCCCCGCCCCACCTCCTCACCTGGCCAGCAGCCACCTGCTGAGCCTTGAAGCGCATGAAGAACTCCACCATCTGGCGCACGTCGTCCTCGCTGTCGACTGACAGGGCCTGGGGAGAGGCAAGGCAGGTCCCGGGTCTCGCCAGTGGCCGCAGCCCCACGGAAGCAGGAGGGCCCGCCCTGCTCGCCCCAGAGCCACGGGGAAAGGGCCGGCGGGCAGGCACTCTGCCCCACGGGAAGCAGGAGCCTCCGGGGCAAGCGGAGTCGGGGCCGCTGGCCGTGGGGGCTGCCGCACCTGCTTGTCGTGCCCGCTGACACGCGCCATGCTCTGCTGATGGTCTGGTGCTTCGGACTCTCCTGCCCATGAGGAGGCAGCACGGACTGGGAGCGTCCGCACGTTCCCAGGGGAGAGGGGGGCTTAGCAGGCACCCCCCACCCTACGTCCTGCTTGAATGCGGACCGGAAGGGACCCTGCTGCCTAATTTCGAGGAGAGGCCGATGGAGCTCTCCGTGCGGACACAGGCTTGCCGAATGGAGAGACGCCAAAGCGCCGCCTTGGAAGGCAGCGGATGCCTGGGGAGGACTGGCAGACCCCAGATCAGTGACGGGGCTCATGTGCCGGGGGGTCTCTGCACCATGAGGATCCCCCTCGGGGGAGAGACCATGCTTCCGTATGCACAGAGCCCCTTCCCCGCCGGGATCTCCGCTGCCAGGGAAGCATCCCGCAGTTCTCCAAGGGCACGCCAACGCCACGCCGAAGCCCACGCCCTTCCTCCCAGGACCTCGGTGGGAACCGCCGAAGGCCACGTGAGCCCTCAGCTGCCTGCACAGCCTTGTCGCGGGACGGTTTGGTTTCCTCTCCTGCTCATGTCCCACGGGAGCCGGCCTCTGCTGCTGAAGAACAGCCAGCCATGCAGAGCAGCTGAGCCAGGGGCCTGCCTGGACCTCAGGAGGCCCCGGATCTTGTCTTGGGCAAAGCACCCAGAGTCGGAGGAGGCTCCCGCAGCCCGCCTCCGTAGGAGGAGAAGCAGAACTCACGGCGAAGATGGAGTCCAGCCTCATGAGGGTGCGGTCGTGCTTCTCCAGGGGCTGGAGGAGGCCTCGCAGCTTGCTCTCGATCAGGAAGCCCTGGCGAGGGAGGGAGAGGTTGCGGGTCCCTCGGGGCGAGCAGCTGCCCCTCCAGCTAGCCCTCGGAGTGGGCGCCGGACAGGAGGCCAGAGGCAGCCAGGTCCCCCCCGCCCCCGGAGCAGGCCGCCCGCCCGCCCCGCTCACCGACTCGTCACACAGGAGCTCCAGGACGTGCTTGACCGTCTGGGCCGAGATGGACCGGAGGGCCTGGGCCGCTGCTTCGGCGGTCTCCCTGCAGCCCTCCTCCGGGGTGCCCTCCCTCTCTTCCTGGGGGCTGCCCTCTGGCCTGGGGAAGAACTCAGGGGCGGCTCTCCCTGCTACGGGAAAGAGGACTGGTCTTGCAGCGGCAGTGCCACCCAGAGCCCCGAGACTCAGGCGCCCACACGGGGCTCCACACGCATCCGTCTCCCTGCGCATTTCGGCTCAAGACAAAAGTGCCACACATCTTCAGGACCCAAAATGGGCATCCCGCCGCTTCCCCCACGAAACCGGCCGAGGCACTCCAGGCCAGCGTCCTGGGCGGGTGGCTTCCCGGATGAACGAGCGCCACCTCCCAGAAACCCAGCTGGCACTGCTTCCCTTTGCGGAGGTGAAAGATGTGCTTTCCTTCCCTTCCAGAAAAAACACGGAGCGGCCTCCATCCCGTCCCCTGCTCTCCCTCCCAGGAATCCCTCGCTTGCCAAACAGACGCCAGCTCTGGAAATCACGTCAATCCGTGCATGGCATCCCGCCTTCGGAACAAGGCCACCCCCTTGCTGAACCGAAGCGACTCTCCCCCTGTGCGATGCCCACCCACCCACCCGCCCGGGAAGGGGCCGCAGGGAAGCCGCGCTCACCGTCCGGCGCCAGCACCTCCTGGGCCAGTTGGTGGGCCGACTTCTCCGTCCTCGTGTGCACGACGGGCCCCACGTTGTGCAGGAACCAGTCGCCGGGCTCGACCCAGGGCAGGCCCAGCTGCTGCGCGTGGATGACGCGGTCGGCGTCGAGGGCCTTGCGGATCAGCCGCTTGGCCTCCTCCTCGTTCATCAGCCAGACCTCCCGGAAGTGCTCGGCGTCCACGATGGCAAAGTGCCTGGGTCGATGGAAAGGGGCCCTGCCACGTGCGCCCTCGGCACAGGGGCTCTCTCGGGAGAAGGCCACGCCCGGCGGGGAGAGCCGGCCGGCGTGCCGAAGGGGCCAGGCCCGCGCTCCAGCACGGCTGCCGGAAGTGTCGCCCAGCAGAGCACACACAGCGGGAAGTCTGGGGACGACTGCCCCGGGCCATGGCCCCCAGCGCCCTTGAGCCCACGCCACTGCCCCCCACACCTGCGCGCCGGCTGCCGGCCCCTTGGCCAGGCGGCCGCCCTCCCAGGCGCTCTCCTCGCTCCCCCCCGCCCCACCCCGCCCCGCCCCACCTCATGGTCCGCTGCAGGTCCTTGTACTGCTCCACGATCCGCTTGTAGTCAGCGGTCAGCGTCTGGTTCTCCTCGCGGAACTGCTTGATCTGCTTGGCCAACTTCAGGCGCAGGTTGTTGAGCACATCGTGCAAGCTGGGGAAAGGTGGGGGGCTCCCCTTAGAAAAGGAGGAGTCCAGCGACCGCCCCCCCAGCCGAGCCACCAGGGGGAGGCTGCAGAGCGCTCAGAGGCCCGGAGCCCTTCCAGCCCCGTCTCCCGGGAGACTCTTCTCTGCAGCCTCCGGGGGGATTTCAGACCTTGCTGTGCTGGGAGTGCCCCCTGGGCAGTGCCCCCGCCCCCAAGGCTAGGCCAGTGTGCTGCAGCCCGGCTTCTCATCTAGGCTCACAGTGCCCCCTAGAGCAGCCGTCCAGCTGGGGCACTGCGGGCTTCCACGAGCCTTAAGCCCCTTCTCTATAAGCCAAAACACACCCCAAAGCGCCATCCTTTCCCTTAAATGGGGTGATTGGCTCCAGCCACCTTTTAACTTGTGATCCAGCCACTGCGTAATGGCCTGGTTTGCTGGCGAGGCCACCGAGATCAGATACGAGGCCCTCTGTCAGCAGTGTGGCTGGCCTGTCCTTAGCACAGATCCCCGTGAAGAGGCTCCCTCGATCCTTCAAAAGCCGTGGGCCGCCTAGCTGGGAGCCAGATGCTCTCCCTCGCCCAGACTGCCTGCCCTGCAGGCAACTCAGTGCACGCCCCACAACCACACTTGGAGAGAACATGTGGCACTTCGATTTCTATTTGGAATGTCGTGTTCATGCACGACAGCGGCCTTCCCTGGGCCCCCATTCTTGTTTTTCCCTTAAATAAACTAATTTTATATTAGAAATTTGGCCGTACTATCTTAAATGGGGTTTCTTACTGAACTCTTCTTCACAGTCATAGAACCACTGCTTGTGTTTTAAGACTTTAGAAAGGTTTGGGGAAGTGTGGCTTTTGAGTTTTGCAAAGGAGAGCAAGCCCGACGTTCACCTTGCCGGCGGGCAACCTATCAAGGGTCTTTTCCTGGGGGACCCTCGGTCCCAAACCAGCCAGGGACTGTGGGAGGGACGCGCCCGGTTCCCTTACCGGTTGAGCTTCCTCTTCTGCTGGGATTTGATGATGGTGTTCTCGTCATCCCGCTTCTTCAGCACCTGAAAGTTGTACTCCAGCTTCTCCTGGTTCAACTGGTAGATGGCTTTCATCTGCTGAAGCTGCTGCTCCAGGATCTGGCATCCAAAGGGGGAAGGATGTGTGTCCAGGCAGACCGAGGCCATGGCACAAATTCCTCTGGTGACCTCGCTGCTCAGGAGACCGGCCACTGCTCAGCCGCACCACCAAGAATGGTGGCCACTTTGTCTTTCTGGTGCTCAGAAAAAGTACAGAGGTGGCCCGGACTCAAAAGGGAATCAAGATGGCCACCACTCTCACCGAAACCCTCAGCACCCGCACTAGAAACACGAGATGCAAGTGTGGATGTGAAGAAAGCCGGGATGGGGGATTTGTGTGTGGAGGATCTGCGCCATGATCCAAGGGTAAACGTTTAGAGCGGAATTCAGACGTACATCGTGGGGCCCCACCCCTGCACCGCTCGCGTGCTAAGCAGAAGACCTGGAGCAGCTACTCCCTACGGATGCTGAGATAGCGGGGGAAATGTCCAAATCTCGTGTGGACAGGGCAACCAGGGAGCTGTCTGAATGTCCCCCTTCACAACGGCCCGACCCTCCCGGCCATCGGCACCCTCGGCAAGGCACGCCGCCACGATCGCGCCACGCCTTGGCGCAGGGCTGCCCCCTGCCACCCGAGCGTTCCCCCCCCGGTCCCGGGGGCGCCCTAGCGCCGTACCTGCACGTCCCGCTCCAGCTTGATCTTGATGACACTGTGCTCCTCCGCATCCTGCACCCGCAGCTGGTTCAGCTCCCGCTCGTACTCCTCCACCTTCTTCAGCCGGGCCATCATGAAGTCCAGCTGGAGCAGGGAGGACAAGGCGCAGCAGCTGGAGCCCTGATTGTGCTGAATGACCTTCGCTTGGCTGCCACCGGATTGGCTCAGAAGGGAGCCGACTCTCTGTCGCAACATGGCAGAGCACAGAGCCAGAGCAGGAAGGAAGCTCACCCGCTCCAGCTCGGAGCCCCTGCAGGTCTCTGTTACGACATCCCAAGACCGTGTCGTTCCAACGGTTTATGAATATGCAAGCTTCGTTGCTGGGGTGCAGGCGTTCTTCCTGTATCCTGAGTCCCCTTCCTGCCTTTCCTTTCATTTCCGTACTGCCCCACACCTGAAGCTCTTTGACAGGTGTTGTGGCACAGAACACTAAGCAGCCAGTCAGGGCAAACCAAGCTGAATGCCAGCAACCGGGGCTACAGCTGGAAGCCCCCACACCCTCCTCGCAATGGCCCAGCTCTGGTGCTCACGGCCACTGACCTTCTGCCCAACCCGCCTATTCAGACCTCAAACATCAGCCCTGAAAAGCCAGCCCCAGCATGGTGAGACTATTAGGGGAAGAGGGCATCTTGTGAACAGGCGGCCTCTGGTTCACATCCCAGGTCTCGCCAGGGGGCAGCTGCTGAGCAAAGCCACAGAGACGCTTCTCTGTGGTGCTCCTGAGGAGAGGAAGGCCCTGTGAGCGAGGCTCTTGCTCCCCGGCCCATTTTCAGGGGCTGGTCAGTTCTTTCGCACTTTCGTGAAAGCTAAAACAAGACTTCTCATTCTTGCCTCTCCTTCAAGGGAGCACAACCAACCCCCTTCAAGCCTGAACCCAGCTATGCCAGCTGGTGTGTCTGCCACCTAAAGGCCACCTGTCCAAGCCACTCTAAAATCAAACAAAGGTCAAAGTTCACCTGTGATCACAGGTTACTACTCTCGACTCTCGAAAGAAGGATTGTGAATAAAAAGAAAGAGAAAGCATTTTATACAAATTACGTAAATCAAGACACCTGTACTCGATTTTCTTACAGCATGTTCCCACAATGACTCTCTGGAGCCGCAACCCACGTCCTGCAGCACCAACCAGTGAATACGCCACGGAAGAGAGAAGCGCTGCACTCTCAGAACTCCCCGTGCCTCCGAGGGAAGCGTGGCAGGCGCCGGCGCCCACGCCCCCTCACCTCTTGCCGGTTGAGGGTTTGCATGCCTTGCTCCCACTTCTTCTTGTTGCTGCTGAGGAGCTCGCGGCGCTCGACCTCAAAGGCTTTCTGAAAAAGAGAGAGGCGTGAGCAGCTCCTGCTCTGCGCGTGGAAGGGAGGACGGCCGGGGCAGGCCCAGGCCAGCCGGACACCCGCCAGGGCCGCAAGCAGGAGGACGACTTCGTCCCGGGGCGGATGCAGGATGCAGCACTAGCGCCCCGGGTGCCAGCGGCCTCGGTCACGTGCAGCATCTTTTCCCAGCCCCGGCTCTCTGCCGGGCCAGGACAGCTCCCCTCGGCTGGCCTCCCGCTCGCGTTGCGCGGAGGTGCTGCACGCGGGACTCTCGTTAGGAATGGTCAGGAAACCTTAACGAGTTCAAAGCAATGGGACCAGCTGAACCTACTGCTCCGTCGCTTGATGAACCGCATTGGCTTCCTTCCATGTTCAGGCTCAATTCAAAATACTGTTTTTAGCTCTTAACACTAGATGTAGTTTGGGCCAGTGTTGGGCATGGCGTGAGCGGAGCCAGCTGGAGCCGGGGGTCAGACTAGATGGCCCGGGAGGCCTCTTGTGACTCGCTCTGCTTCTGTGTTTTCCAAAATGTATTCACCTGGACCTTAAGATGAGCACCGGATGCCGTCCTCCATGCTCTCCAGTCGAGGGAGACCTGAGCAGCAGCTCTGAGACAGCAGGCCTTCTCCCAGAGACCCCTCGCTCCAGAAAGCCTTGCTGGGCACCAGGTAGCTATTTATTTAAAACGTTTTTAGACTGCCCCATTACCGAAGTCTCGGGATGGTTTAACAATACAAAATGTAAAAAAAAAATAAAAAAATAAAACACAGTGTCCTAAAAATTCAACTAAGAATAAATAAATAAACTGACTTTATCCTCTGAAGTTTTTAAATACCTCTTTAGGGTTTTTTTTTTTAAATTAACTGTGTGATTTTTCTGCCTTTTAGAAATGTGGATTTTATTGATTTACTTGCCATTCTGTTTTCATAATGTAATTGTGTATTTATTAATTGCACTGTATTTTCCAAATGCACTGCTGATGAGGTAGCACAGAAACACAGTAAGAAACCCAATCCTGAGCATAGCATTTACAGAGATGCTATCAAAGTTTTATTTGCTTTACTCGTTTCAGTGATTTCTGCTGCCCCATTCCTGCTGTGGGTAATCAACTAGCTGCCAAGCGAAGTTGTTTTGGTCTCCCAGTGGTTAAAAGCTGCCCTTCCTTCCAGCAAGGGAATATATGGACATGAGAGATCTACTAAGAGCTGGCATTAAAGCATCTTCTCAGAGAAAAATTTGCTGATAACAGGCACCAGGACCCTCTGGCAACAAACAAGACTACCGGGTGAGACTTTTGTTCCAGAGGAGTTTGCCAAGAAAAGGGAGACGTTTCCTTTTTTTGGAAGGAGTACTAAGGCCTGTCTGGAAGTGCTTTCTTATTATGAGATAATTATTTTTCCATAGACAACTGATTATTCTGCTTGAAAGTGGCCATTATTCACTGAAAAGCTGTACACGAACAACCCAAAATGTGAAGAGTTGTTGCTGCAAGGCGAGCCAGCCTCTCTTTTTTATCTGCTCCCTACGGCAACTCCTTTTATGCCTGATGCCAAGATGCTCTTCAGCCAGACGGTCCTGCGGGAAGTGGCTCAAGAGAAGGCTGGAGTGAAGGCTGGGGGACCCGTGAAGCACTCGGGTTCAGTCTCAGCCTGCAGGACTGTCCTCCCTGAACCTCAGAGAAAGCCAATCAAAATGAGAGAGGGTTTTAAAGAGCAAGAGGTGAAGGAGACTGGGAATTGGCTGGGTATATGAGCACAGAATGGTTTACTGCCTAAACCAGGGGCCAGCGACCTTCAACACTCAAAGAGCCATTTGGACCCGTTTCCCACAGAAAAGAAAACACCGGGAGCCACAAAACCCTTTTGACATCTAAAATGACGATAACACTGCATATATCGTTTTTTACCTTTATGCTATGTATAAAAAACTATAATGTGTTGCATTTATGAAATCAAGGAATGATTCTTTTACATAATCTCCATCTGTGAACGGCTTCCCATGCCTGACTCTTTCCTGAGCGGCCACAACACTGGCATATGCAGTTGAATTTGCAGACTTGATCCACTCCTTGAAATGATTTTTGCTCAGATCAACCTTCCGCATCAGTTCCGAAATGGCTTTTTCCCTCTTATCTCCATCCGGATATCTTTCAACAAAGGCTGTGTGTTTATTCTGGAAATGTCTTGCAACATTCAACTTTTTGTTGTTTGCCAATTTCTCACCACATATCAAGCGTCCTGGTAAACCAGCCTCGTCAGCAGTGAAAGCAGATGAACCTGCCCACGTACCATTAAACGTTCTGTTTTCTTCTGAAACTTTTCTTTTCTTGGATTTATCCATGGTTGGCCTACCGCGGGTCGAAAAGCTCAATAAACCGCGTGCCGGCAGGTGTTGCACATTGGTGGTTGTGACGCATATTTTGAGTGACAGGGAGCCGCAGCAGAGGGATGAAAGAGCCACACACGGCTCCGGAGCTGCGGGTTGCTGCCCCTGGCCTAAACCATTTGATATTTACTGTTGGACTGGTCAACAGATAGACCTTAAAAGGCCAAGACGCCAGAACTTTCAGAGGCTGGACAAAGTTGGTTCCTGCAGATTATCTGTCCCCTATGGAGGAATTGTATTGGGTAGCAAGGCTGAGCCAGTGGATAAACTGGAACCAATAACAGAACATAAGCAGAGGTGGTTTTTCAAGTTGGCTTAGAATATCCTGATCTTGAAATATAAATCAGTCTCCACTCTAACAGACAAAAGTACTTTCCAAATTGAAGGATAGCTTTATATGGTTTGTAGGAATTTAGCCCTCATGAAAAGTTTGCTCAGAAAGTTAACAGACTAACAACATCACTGGTGAAGAATTATGCACCCCAAGAGAGGGTTCTGGGATAAAAGAAATCAATAAAAGCATTCCTAAAGCCAGTGCAACAACCAAGACATCCTCAAACACCTAAGAAAAGAAAATCCTCAAGGAACCACACTAAAGATGCTGATGTGGCAGTTTATAAGGAGAAATACAAAAAAACAGAAGAAAAGCAGCCAACATCAAAAACATAAGAAAATGGAAGAAAAAGGCGCATGCCATCAGAAGAATGGTCTAAAATGTTGTTTGAATTGTTAGATGGAAAGCCCAAATGAATACCCCCACCTCCCCCCCCCCAAAAAAAAATCAATGCAGAAGCCCTGAAAGGGAAAAGGGACTGGTCAGTGCTAATTTGCAGCCTCCTTCATGGATCACTGCCTTGCCGTGGCAAAGGGGCTTGCGCAGCGCAATGAAGCCATGAGCTATGCCATGCAGGGCCACCCAAGATGGACAGGCCATAGCAGAGAGCTCTGACAAAACATGATCCACTGGAGAAGGAAATGGCAACCCACTCCAGTGTCTTTGCCATGAAAACCCCATGGACAGTACCAAAAGGCAAAAAGATATGATGCCGGAAGATGAGCCTCTCAGATCAGAAGGTGTCCAATGTGCTACTGGGGAAGAGCAGAGGGCTAGTACTAGTAGCGCCAGAAAGAGTGAAGCGACTGGGTCAAAGCCAAAAGGACACTCAGTTGCTGATGTATCTGCTGGTGAAAGGAGAGTCCGATGCTGCAAAGATCTGTACTCCATAGGAACCCGGAATGTAGGATCCACGAATCAAGGCAAGCTGGACGTGGTCAGACAAGAGATGACAAGACTGAACATCGACCTCTTAGGAATCAGTGAACTGAAATGGACAGGAATGGGTGCAATTAATCCAGATGACCATCAGGTATACTCCTGCGGGCAAGAATCCCTCAGAAGAAATGGAGTGGCCTTCATTGTCAATAAAAGAGTAGGAAAAGCAATACTGGGATACAATCTCCAAAATTACAGAATGATCTCAGTTCGAATCCAAGGCAAACCATTCAACATCACTGTAGTCCAAGTCTATGCCCCAACCACTGGTGCTGAAGAGGCTGAAGTTGACCAGTTCTATGAAGGCCTAAAACACCTTCTAGAATTAACTCCGAAAAATGATGTCCTTATCATCATGGGGGATTGGAATGCTAAAGTAGGAAGCCAAAAGATAACCGGAATAACAGGCAAGTTTGGCCCTGGAGTACAAAATGAAGCAGGGCACAGGCTGGTAGAATTTTGTCA